GGAGGTTGCTATGCAAACTGCCCCCTCCTTTCTCACCCACCGCACACTGAGATAGCATGGAAACAGGCGGCTGACGACGCCTGGGGAGTGGGTGAGAACTCTTTCATAAAGCTCAAATGCCTCCCTGTCAGTTCTTGGGGGTGTTGCAAGTGCTGTGTACTTTCAGCATCTTGTTTGGAGGCTGGTAGAGGAAGGAGGCTCCGTGTGAGATATCACTTGGTCATTGGAAGCCTGATATCTTTTTGGACTTGCATTCATTTAGCCTATTTCATTTGTGTTTTTTTTTTAAAGCTGTCAGTGTTGGAGGATGAAATGAATATAATTGTATGTTACATATATGGCTTATTTATATAAATCTGGGGAACTGTGTTTTTACAATAAAAATTTAGTAAGATGTCCTTTTCTCTGCGTGTCCTGAAATGAAGATCCCACAGTGGAGGCTGAGAAGGAAAAGTAGTTCAGGAAACATGGGAGCAAGCAAACAACGGTGCAGCTCAGGTGGAGGACTGACAAGTCTCCATCCTGCATGCTTCCTGGGTGACTCACAGGTACCAGACACACTCTCATCCTCCCTGGTCAGTTCCTTTCACCAGTGCAAGCCACGATGCTGAGGAAGGTTGCCAAGCCCACGGTGCTGCTGGCCAAAGCCCTCAGTCCACGCAGCTGTCGATGTGGCAGCAGCAAGAGCGTGTACCCGTGTCCTCTGCCCAGCCAGCGTGCCTCCGCTCTGACCTTCGGGGTCTTGTATTTGTGGCTTCCTTGATTTTCAGACTTTCCACTCAGAATGTTGCCAGCGACACCACTGGCACCTTGTGCTTTATGAGAGGCCACACTCTAGTCCGTAGTTCAAGTCCGAAGGACCTTTCTACATTAGTGCCTGTGGTGGATCAAATTGGTGGCAGGTCTTACGATTCCTTTTGTTCCTTCTCTGATCCTCGGTGTGATGCTAGAGACGTCCTTCCTCCATTCCATCATGTCAGGAGCTCTTCTATAAGCCAGGAATTGGAGTAATATGAAGGCAGCTAGAAATTATTTAAAATTTGGACCATCTGTGCTGGCTGTGCCCAGTGTCCTCTCATGTAATTTCTTATTGACCAGGTGGAAGGGAATTGCAAGGCAGGGGGGGGACACATAACAGGTAATATAATAATAAGGTAGTTGGTATATAGTAATAACAAGGTAGTTGGTACCATGATACCTGCCCTGTGCTGTGGGCCAGAGTGGCAGGATCGCTGTGCAGTGTAGAGTCCAAATCCTCTGAGCTGTCTCATGGTGTGGTTGCTCTGTCTCACTTCAGCTGGCTGCCTTTACGTGCAGCTAGCACTGTTGACTGGCACTTTCTGCAGCTGGCAGGTGGAAAAGATTATTTTCTCTTCCACAACTTTTTATCTCCTCTAGGTTCAGAGGAAAAAGTCAAGCCAGTGTCTTTGGGATGCCCCACGTTGGAGCACGATGATACCTTCAGCCACACCACAGTCACTTTAGCCGTGCTTCTTCCACACTAATGAATAATTAACTGCTGTGTGCATGTGCACAGACACACTGGTCACGGGCATCTCTGCAGGGTCGTGGTGACCTGCAGATGATCACAGGGAGCTGCTTACCTCAGCACACGATTTTTTTTGGCCTCGCTGCCGGTTTGTTATCTCTTTGGCCACCAGCTGCCCAAAGCTAGTGTCACCGTGACCTGCATCGGCAAGAGGCGAATGTTGACGGCTCCCCAGCCTCCTCAAAGCACGAGCGTGCAAACAGATTGAGGTGAGCTAGGTGTGAATTTGCAGCACGTCAGCTCCCACACTGTAACTCCCCCAAGGTAAGTGCAAGGTGGCTCACAGGAAAGCGGCGGGCTATTTTTGTTTCCAAGGGTAACAGCTTTCCCACAAGAAGTTCCCACGAAGAAGACGACCCATCTTTGCTGGTTTGCGTGCCCATCATCGGTGCTGTACGCGAAAGCACAAACCTCAGCTTCCCAAAATTCAGCTGCGTGTGTCAAGGCACCTGCTCCGAGGCAAGTGTTCAGTAAGGCAGATCAGTTTTCCTGCCCGCTGAGCCATTCTGTGCCGGCCCTTGTGTGTTAGAAGAAAGACTTTCGCCCTCCTTTTGCTGTGGAACTGGCACATTTTTGGGCATGCTTGTAATTTTTAGGGGAGTATGGTTCATGAATCAGAGACGGTCCCTTGTCCTGTGTTTTCCCCGCAAGAGACCCCTGCGTGGCTGATGCCTTGGAGCCTCTAGGGCCTGTCTGCCTTTGATTTTAAAGCTCCAGTCCCTTGCTGAAGGATTTTGCCTTACAAATTTTCAGTGAAAAGCCGGGGAAGTTGGCAACAGGTGGCCTGATACTGTGTTGTCCGCTCCCTCTCGTTTCTTGCCCCCTGCATATTGCTGCCATTAACCATCAAAGCATCAGGCTGAGTCAGATGTAGAAAAGGAGATGAAAAACACAGGGTGATGCATCGGTGCCAGCTGAACTGACTCTTTCTGTCCACCCGTCCCGGAAAGCTGCAATAGCAGCTCGGGGGGTTTGTGCTTCATGACTTCATCCCTCCCCACCGAGGGGAGATGGGCAATATCATTATCAGCTGCCGGGGAGTCCTGACTTGGTGCCAGCAGTGGAAATATCCTCAGATGTACGGCTCCTCCTCCGCCCCCGGGGTGACTCGAACCTGCTGGGAAGGGGGGAAGGTGCTGGGAAGATGGAGGCAGAGCTGGCGGGGGGAGATGGGAAGAAAGAGGTGCAAACTCAACCGCTTCTCTGTGATGATGTCATGGCAACAAGGTACATCGACGTGCTGTCAGGCGATGGGGGCAGGCTTTGAAGCTCTCCAGCTCTTCCCGGTTGCTGCAGGCTCGTGCCTGACTCGCCGAAAAATCTCTTGGTTAATGTTTAATGCCGGCATTGAAGTGCTAAGGGTGGCCAGTGCCCCGTTAATCCCCCTGCCTCTGCTTTCTGATGGGATGCTAAATCGGGATGGGGGGGGTAGGATTGCAAGCTCCCCTAGCCAGGGGATGGGACTCCCGGTCAGTAGGGTGGCTTTAGCCCATAGGGTCCCTGTCCCCATCTGGCTCTAGGATGTGGGAGGGAGGTTTCTATCTCCCAAGCCCAGTTTGGAGCTGGTTTGGGGCTCTGGAAGGAGAGGGGTGTCCCTCTCCCCTTGGTCTCCCAGGGCTGGCTCTAGAATAAAGAAATCTGTGGCCCTGCTCCGGGAGCTGAGCCCAGCTCCTTTGATGCAGGCAGCTAGCACATGGGGTTTGTTGGTGTTTTTTGGTTTTGGTTTGTTGGTTTTTTTTTTTTTTTTTTTTTGCTAAGCAATGACCTAACGATCCTGTGTTCCAGCTACAGCCCCTCCTAGGCGCCTTCTTTCCAAACCGTATGTCCGGACGGGATCCAGCAAACCTCCCGGAGCAAGACGCCGTGTTCCCTTCCCCGGGGAAGCCATCTGCTCCCCTCCGCCCGGCTCCTTCTGCGGGGCTCTGAGCTCGCCAGCCAGGCTGGAAAGCTTTCCTCCTCCTCCTCCTCCTCCTCCTCCTCCTTCTTCCCCGTTCGTCCCGGCTCCCACCGGCCATGTTGTTGGCGCCAGGCGCAGGGAAGGGAACGCGGGGCTGGGCTGAATCTGGGGCGGCTGATGGTGTCAGCCAGAGGCGGTTTCCAAGCAACTGTCGCGCCGTGGGACACGGCGAGCCGAGCGAGCACACCGGGAACACCGCGTTCCCTTCCCCGCCGCGGAACGGAGCCGGCCCGGGATGGAGCGGAGAGGGCGGCGTGAGCCAGAGGGTAGCGCGGGGGTGGCGGCAGAGGAGGGGGTCTCCGGGGTACCCCGCTCCTGCCCACCCTTTGCCGTGCCCTCCCCTGGCCTGGAGCGAGGATGTCCAAGCTTGGCGGCTGGTACGTCGCGCGGCCAGGGCTGCGTGGTGGATGGGATTTCATGTGCCCCCCTGCGTCCTTTGGGAAATCAAAAAGAGGGAAAACATTGCTCCAGACTCTGTACCCAACCCGCCCCCCACACACACTCCAGGCTTGTTGGGGGTGGCCCCACGCTTCTCTGCCCTTTAGCAAAGCCAAAGCTCCCTCCCTCCAAGTCACCAACCATTTCTGCTCACGCAGCCCGGCTCTGCGCCCCAGGATGACACTGGAAAAGTGCATTTGTTGTGAAAACGGGCTGCCCTTCCCTTCCACAAGCCGCCGGTCCTCCCCAGCGCTCGAGGGGTCTCGCTGCCCCTCTGTGCTGACGCCCGAGGTGGCAGGCAGCACCCCCACTGCTGCCCCCCCTGCCTGCTTCAGAGGCCCTGGGAGCATCCCTGTCCGTGAGCTTCACCTGCCCGGCAGCCCTTCCTTACACTCCCAGCCCAGTATTTCCCCTCCCAGCAACGCTGATACTCACATCCCCTCTGTTCTACCTAATTTGAATGGGTTTTGAAAGGGTGATGGAGTAAGAGTGATTTTTGAATGGGTGGGGGAGGGTGATAAAATCACTCTGGCCGAGCAGCAGGGCAAAAAATCTCCTGGATTACGAGTGTGCGGATATGGTGGATGCGGGGAAAGGGGCTGCGTAGTGCCGGGCACGGTGGGTGCTGCAGAGGGGCAGAACCACTTTAACACCCTCTACACCAAGAAATGTCCTGCAGCCCCGTGCGGGTGACAGCACGGAGGGACAGGACGGTGCGGGGGTTACCTGCAGCCGTTGCTGTCCCCGAGCCAGCCTTGTGGCTATTGATTTGGAGCTTGCCCCGTTCACGCTAACCTTGGCAGTGCCAGCTCGCCCCTTATCAGCGCTGATAAACCCCCCCGCAAACCCCCCCGGCCCGGCGGTGTCACCCCGCGAGGTGCCGCAGCGACAGATCTTTCCCGCGAATCTGCCCCGGCGCCGGTTGCTCTTTTTGCTGCGATGCTCTAAATCCACGGCGCCTCGCTCCTATTTTTGCACAGAGGCCGTGGCTGCAGCGACACTTTTTTAGCCCCGGGTGGGTGCCCACCGCTTGCTGAGTGCGTCAGGTGAGGAAGGATGCGGTGCCGGCTGCAAACGCTTTTCCAAAGGAAATTTAAAGTCAGCCTCCTCTTTCTCCTGCTCTTGGCCATCCTGGTGCACCTGGTGATGGATTTGGCTCTCCCCACACCCCGCAGGCCCTGTGGCTGCGATGGGAAAGCACCGAAAGGCTTGGGTGTCCTGTCAGGCAGCCCCGTGCTGGCTGGCCCCAAAAAGATGAGCCTGCGAATCCTTCAGGATTTCAGTGGCAGCAACAGCTCCTTGGAGAAAAGCTCCCAGCCGCAGGGAGCGAGGCCGCAAGTAAGGGCTGGAGAGTCGGGGGTCCGACACCCCAGCGGAGAGGGGCACACGGGGCAGACCAAGGGATCAAAGCTGGAAGAGCTCTTCAAGCATCCTCTTTACAACATCCCAGTCCCGGAGGTGATGGAGAAAGACAAGCTGTTTGTCGTCAACCCCACGGAGAAGTTCAGCCTGCACAGCGGCGGGAGCGACGAATGGTGAGGAGCGAGCTCAGCCCTGGCTTGCTTTTGGGGGGGATACGTGGGTTTGAGGGGAGGGAGCAGACATTGTCTCCTTGCATAGACCAGCATCCCACCCTGGAGGGGCTCCGACTGCTGAGCATGATCTTCTTGTGCCTCAAATCCCCTCTTAGCCCTGAATTTCTGGGCTGCTACCCGGGAACCTGTAGCGTATGGTGAAGCCAAAGGAGAGTCTTGAATTATTCACAGTATTACGTAGGGTATCTTTTTAGGTCATGCCCTCATCTCCTTTCCTTCCCCAGTGCAGACTCTAGCCTTTGGTCTCTATATATATGAGGAAGTCCCCACTTCAGATTTCTAACCAGTTTTATTCCCCTCTCCTGCTATATTGGAGATACAAAGCCCACAATGTAGGTTACCTCTAACTGTGAGACCGTTCCTGCCCTGTATTTTGCAGGACGTTGCCTGACCTCTTTAGGTTCAGCCCTGTGTTGAGCTCACTGCTGCTGACTGCCTATTTTTATCACTGGACTACTAACCTCTAATTAGGAGGGAAGACGTTAAAAGCTTTAGCGTTGGTAAACTGTGGCAGCTTCCTTACAGAAAGCACACCTTCCAAACATGGCAGCTGCTAAAAATGGGAGAGAATAAAAGCTGAGTTAAAAGCTGGTTTCCACAACCAGGGATTTGCCTTGTCTCTGAGCACCACCTCGTCTACGGATAATTATGGGAGATGGGTCTGGATTGATGAAATCAGGGCACATTCTCCTAGAGACAGAGATTTGAATTTGGGTTATAGACGCCCTGGGCCAGACTGTCCCATTGCAGTGCCAGTGGGTGCTGGTGCAGAGGCTTGGCAGGTACCCCCAGGAGCCCCCCCCCTTGAATGCCAGCAAATTGCAAGTTTGCAGGAGGCACAGACAGGAACAGTGTTAACCCAAACTCATCCCCCCAGGGAAGGCAGGGGTGTACGATAAACCCGTCCAAGTGGAACTGGACGTTGAGGGTGCGAGTTCAGGCCGGGGCTGGGGATAGCTGGGAAGCCCCTGCTCCTCCACCCCTATTTTATAGAGGGGTGTGTGTGTCCCCAGTGAGCACGTGGTGGGGTGCAGCCAGTTGTATTCCCAGGAGCTCATCCCCTGGGGAAAAACAACGAGACAAACTGCTCTGGCAGAGAAATAAAGGCACAGGTGAGAGGAGCAGGATCAGCCTGGGGATTTTCCACAGGGAATGCAAGGGAAGACACTGAGCCCTCTCCAGCCATGCCGGTGGATCTTCCCGGCCACCAGCCGTGGGTGGGATCTGCCGAGGTGCCAGGAGCCCCGAGGAGGGAGCATGGGGCAGCACAAGCTCTTGCCACCACCCAGAGCTTGTGCTGGGCCTCGCCCCCGCCTCGCTCTCCATGTGCCAGCTCCCGGGAAGGGCCTGGGGACACAGGACCCATCCCGTCCCAACTAAACCCTGTCATTGTTGTTGGGGTGGCGGTGGCTGTCGGGCTGCAGGGTCAGCAGCAGTAAAGCCGAGGCGCTCCTCCCGACAGGGAAGACGGCTTACGACACCTACCCACCCTGGCTCAAATTCCATGTCGGCATCAACCGCTATGAGCTGTACCCACGCCGGGACCCCCTGATGCCCACCCTCCTCCGGGACTTGGCCACGCAGAGGATTGTCAGCTCAGGTACCACCTCACTGCCTGCACCCCTGCCCGCACCCCTGTCCCGCTGCCTGCTGTCCACCCCCCCTCATCCCCGTGTGCCCCCTTTCAGTCCAGAAGTCTGGCGGGACCCAGCTTAAACTCATCATGACGTTCCCGAATTATGGGCAGGCCCTCTTCAAGCCCATGAAGTGAGTACAGCAGGGGAAAACACCATAGCCCACCCGCGTGGTCCCTCTAGGTGGCAAGGAGCAGCCGGAGGAGACCACAGGGGGAGAAATGGAGAAACGCTTCAGCCCTTTACTTCAAAATTGAGGCGAGCGGGATGGTCTCCTTCCCCTCGCCGTCCCCGGTGATGCTTGTGGCAGGCTGGGCGCAGCTTGTGATGGGGTAGTGACCTCCAGTGGTGGAAAGAAGACGGTCCATGAGGACCATCCGGGACCCTTCAGTCCATGAGGGCTTCCCAGCTCTTGGGTTGGGAGCAGGGGGTGTGTGGGGGCCTGGCTGGGGGGGTTTGGGGCTGCACCACCCATAAGGGAGCAACTGGCGGAGACTGGGTCTGGCTGTTTCTCCAGCGGCACCGGAGGCACAAGGTGAGGGGTGGTTTGGAACCAAGCCCACGCTTGGGGTGACTCCATCCACTGCCATCGCCCCCACCCTCCCCTCCCCTCTCCTCCCAGGCAGTCCCGGGACCAGGAGACCCCCATTGACTTCTTCTACTTCTCGGACTTTGAGAGGCACAATGCAGAGATTGCCGCCTTCCACCTGGACAGGTGAGCGCAAGCTTTGCATCCAACTCTGCCCTACAGGGACAGCAAAGCGGCAGAGAAGCTGCTCCTTCATCCCACCTCTTCCTTCTCGTTGTGAGGGATACCTGCATCTGACGGTGGTTTTAGTAACTCGGTTTGAAAACCAGTCAGGGTCAGCAACGAACGGTTCAAAGTTCTGTGTTTCAGGATCTTGGATTTCCGGCGAATCCCCCCAGTTTCTGGCCGTTTGGTCAATATAACGAAGGAGATTCGTGACATCACCACAGACAAGAAACTGGCCAAGACGTTCTTCGTCTCCCCAGGTGAGCTTTCTTGCTGCCCATCCTCTCCTGCAGCCACCCGCATGGAGCTCACCTGGAGCTGGCTGCTCCTGCCACGGCTCCCCCTGCACCAGGGCCAACCGTCCCTTTGGGGACAGCTCCTGCTCCCCGCCGGGTCCCCTCCTGTGGGGCTCTGCTCCTAAAGGCCTCCCCTGCCACTGATTTTCTGGTGGCGCTTGGCCACGGTGCACGGAGCATCCTCACCCGGCTGCTTGCCAGACCAACCGGCACGGGGTTAGCAGTTCTCGTCGCCTCCCGGCTCTTCGTCAACCTTCACTTTGTGTCCCCACGGCCAGCGGGCAACGTCTGCTTCTACGGGGAGTGCTCCTACTACTGCTCCACCGAGCACGCCCTCTGCGGCAAGCCGGACCGGCTGGAGGGCTCCATGGCCGCCCTGCTGCCCGACAAGACCTTGGCCAAGCGCCGCTCCTGGCGCAGCCCCTGGCGCCGCTCCTACCACAAGAGCAAGAAGGCTGAGTGAGCCGGGGCACGGGGCTTGGGGGGGGGGGGGGCACGGGGGGCATGGGGCAGCAGAGCCGTGGGATGGGAAGGGGCCGCCCCACGGCCGCTCTCACGGCCCCGTCCCCCCCGCCCCGGCCTCTGCCCACAGGTGGGAGCTGAACCCCAACTACTGCGCTCAGGTGCGAGAGACGCCGCCCTACGACAGGGGCCATCGGCTCCTCGACTTCATCGACATGACCGTCCTCGATTTCCTGATGGGTGAGCCCCGCCGTGCCGGCGCTGGGGGGGGGGGCTGCGGCGGCCCCTCGGGGCCCGCACGGCTCCGTGTCCCTCGGTACCATGCCCTGCGAGGTCTGTCAGCTGAACCATCGCTCGGGCTCTCACCCGAAGCGAGAGCAAAGGGCTGTGCCGTTAGGGCACGTCCCGGGCAGAAGCTGACGGATGGATGAGAGATGCCGGGGAGATCCCAGCTGAACACCCCGGGCACGGGAAGCGCCTCCCAGCAAAGCTCCCACACGCAGCCCCTGGGGAGTGATGCTTCCCCGGGGGTTTTGCGCTGCCTCTCCCATCCCCGGGGCCGCTTCTCCCCCCCTCCGCCATCATTTAATTCGGTGAGCTCCCCATCTCCTCGTCCCCAGCCGTGCCTTTGCTGTTACTTCTGCTCCATTTGCCGCTGCTGTCACTCCACCGCGCTGCTGGAATGAGAAGGGACCTGGAGGCCGTGTGGGCTCCGCTCGGGTCCCCCCCCCTCCTATGACCACAGCCACCAGATGAGCACCTTAGAGGTGCCCCCAGCCCTTTTCCCCACCCTCTGGAGGGTGCTCCGTGTCCCCGCTTCGGCCTCCCAGGCCACCACCCGACAGCAAATTCGTTGCCCTGCTGCAGGCAACATGGACCGGCACCACTATGAAACCTTCGAGAAATTTGGGAACGACACCTTCCTGCTCCACCTGGACAACGGCCGCGGGTAAAGGCGGGGTGTGGGGGTGAAAGAAATTCTGGGGGGATTCCACTGGTCTTGCTGAAATGTGCCTCGCGTTGGGCTCTGAGCTGCGGGGCGACGCCGCCCTGACGTCCGCCGGCGGGTTTCTCCCCCCCCCCCCCCCCCTCAGTTTCGGCACGTACTCCCGCGACGAGCCATCCATCCTGGCCCCGCTCCGGCAATGCTGCAGGTAAGGGGCTCCCGCCGCCCGCCCCGGAGCCGCCGTCGGGGAGAAGCTCCCCGGGTTGAGATCTCTCCCTCCTCGTTTTCGCCAGCATCAAGAAGTCGACCTACCTGCGGCTGCAGCTGCTGGCCACCCAGCCCTATCGCCTCAGCGACCTGCTGCGGGAGGCACTGGCCACCGACCCCCTGGCCCCCATCCTGGCCGAGCCCCACCTGCGGGCGCTGGACCGGCGCCTGGGGAAGGTGCTGGCGGCGGTGGGACGCTGCCTGGCCGGGGCGGCCCGCCCGGACCAGGTGCTGGTGGATGATTTGGGGCGACGGGTGTGATGGGGAGGGCTCGGTAACCCCGTTGGGTTGGGGTGTTTCGGTGCGCTGCTGCGGGCGGTAACGGGGACCGGCGTGCAGCTCTGACTCCGTGGAGCATCGGCTTTTGGGGGGCGCAGGAGCCGGCGGCACGATGCACCAGGAAAGCGGGCTGTAAGGATAGCGGGGACGGGGAGGGTATTTAAATAAAAAGGTTGGCCTAGTGCAGGAGACAAAAGCTGAGATCTCCCCCACCAGGGCTGCTTTCCCAGCCCTGGCCTGTCCTTGCGTGCCTGGTCGTGTCGCTTCAGCCCTCCAAAACTTTTTAGGAAAGGGCAGGGGTTTTTCCTACCTTTCCCCACCAAGAGCTGCCAAACTGGAGCAGTAGGCAAGCTCCTGCCCCGCCCTCACCCAGCGCAGCGATGCCCCTGGTGATCCCCCAAAAGAAAGCTGAGGCTCCCCACTGCTGATGTGGGGAAACTGAGGCACAAGCTCCCAGCCACTCGCTGCTTATCCCTGCCCTGCTTTTCCCACACCCACCCGAAAACCCCCACGGCTCCGGCATCGCCGCCTCCACCGCAGCACTTGGGGGTGCAGCAAGGGGGGGGATAAACCCCACTTCCCCCTCAGCACTCTCCCAAATCCCCTGGGAACCGCTGCTGGCTCCCTCCCCGCCCGAAAAAAATGGCTCTTGGGAGGGGACGGACTGACCCAGGGCCGTGTACCCTATTTAGTGCCCGGTGGCTCAGCACCCAGCTTATCCCCTGAGCCTCCCAGAGGGGTTAATCCGCTCCAGGGTTAAGACACCCCGGGCAGGTGCCACCGCTACGGCCACCACCAGTGTCCCCAGGATGGGGCAGAGGGTGGGCAAGGCAAGAGATAAAAGTGCCACTGGGCAGGAGAGATGTCCTCCGGCCCAGCCGGTCACCCGTGGAGCGATGGAAAGCCACAGGAAAGGGTGAAAAAGGGCGGCCGGAGCAGCGGGAGACAGAGCTGCCCCGAAAAGGCCAGGCGGAGATTTAGACCGGAATGAAAAATGGGCTCGAAAGGGAGAGGGGAAAAAAAAAAAAAAAAAAAAAGAGACAAAGAAGATCTGTCCACGTTACACAACGGGGCCGTGGACGCTGAATCAGGGCTTGTCACCATGGGCCCCCCCCCCAACGCTGGCAGCACATCCTCCTGCTGCCGCCCCCCCCCCGCCTGTGCATCAAACCCCGGCCCGGGGAGGAAATTCGGGGCGGTTTTGCAACAGGTTACTCCCCTTCTGCCAGCTTCGTATTTTTTAATTCTTTCCATAAATGCCTTTTTTGCCCTCATACCCAAAGCTGGCGGGGCCGTTCCGGACACAGGCACCTGGTTGCCGCCAGCACCCCCCCACCCCCCCACCCCCCCAAACCCTGGCAAATCTTTTTCCGAGGTGACGCCGGATTTAAGAACCCGGGGTGTGGGAGGGCGGCTGTTTTCTCAGCCCGGCGAGTTTGCACAAGGTCCCGGCCGCGCCGCCGCGCGTTCAGGGCCTCGTGGGAACAGCCGCGTTTGGCTCGCACCCCACTGCCGAGCCGGCCCGGCCGCCCGTGGGAGGGGGGAGCGGGATGGTAACGGGGTGTCTGGGGCCGGCGGGCCCCGGGGAGCGGCAGAACCCGCCCGCCCGGTCGAGGCGGCGTGGGCACACGGGCGTCGAGTGGGGCTGCCCTCGCCGCGGGGACGGGTGGTGCGTGGCGGGGACGGGGATTTCCCACCCCAGCAAAACCCAAATGGGGCCGGGGAGCAGCCCTGCACCTGGCGGGGGGCGGGGGGGCGGGGGGGGTTGGGGGGGGGGGTGGGGCTCCCGTTTTGGGCCAGCATCACCCGTGGGATGTGCCGGGGGTGGGGGGGGGCTTGCCTTTGCCTGGCGGCGTGGGCTGCCTGCTGCCTTTTTTTGGGGGGGGGGAGGTGTTTGGTGACCAGCTCCCCGTGGGCAGCCAGGAGGTGGGGATGGAGTGGGGGTGGGCCATCGTTCCCCCCCCCCCAAATGATGATGGTAAAAATAAAATAAAATAAAATAAAATAAAATAAAATAAAATAAAATAAAATAAAATAAAATAATAAAATAAAACAAAGATGGTGATAATAATAATCTAACAATAGTGATAATATTGATAATAATAATAATAAAGCAGAGGATATCGAAGAGGCCCGCGGGGGGGGGGGGGGCGGCCCCCCCGGCGGGCGCGCGCGCGCGCGGTGCAGCGGGGCGGGGCGGTAACGGGGGGGGGGGGGGGGGGGGGAGGGAACAGGGAAGGGGGGGGGGAAGGAGGAGGGCCGGGGGGGGGGCGGGGGCCGCCTTCCCCTGCAAAACAAAAGGGAGCGGAGCGGCGGCAGCCGGGAGGGATCGTGGGGGGTTCCTTACGCGATTCGCCGGTGGGTTTGCGTGGGGTGGGGGCGCGGCGGGTTTGGGGATGGGGGGGGGGGTTGTGGGCGGGCGGGCTCGGACCGGAGCCGGGGGGAGGGTGCGGAGATGAGCTGCGACGGCGGGGGAAGGGTTGCGGGGGGGGGGAAGGGGGTGTACAGAGGGTTTGACGGGGCAGCGGCTCCGCGCGCGGGTGGGTGCTCGCGTGGTGTGGCCCGTGGGAGGTGGGGGAGGGGAGGGGAAGGGGGTTTATAACTCTATAAGGGGAGGGGGCGGGGGGGGGGGGGGGGGGGGGCGGCTTCATCCCGGCCCGGCGGCAGCAGGCGCCCCTGGGCGGGCTCGGAGCACCCCCAAACCGCAGCGGGCACTCCACGGGGCTTCGGTCGGTGCCGGGGTTCCTGCCGCAGGGGTGGGTTCCCCCCGCGAGTGGGGGTCCCTCTAGGCGGGTCCCCTCCCACTGACACTTTCTCCCTGGACCCCCCCAGGTGACCCGTGACACCCTTCCCCCCACCTTGCCCCCCCCAAACCAACACCCCCCCCCCCCCCCAACTCCGTGCCGCCGCCATGTCCCGCCGCAGCCAGCGCCTGGTCACCACACGCTATTACCCTGGGGACGACGATGCCACCACCAGCAGCAGCAGCAGCTCCTTGCTGGAGGGCCAGCAGCTCCCCTTCAAGGAGAGCACCAGCAGGTTGGTGGGGAGTGGGGGGGACACCCCCCCCCGCCCTCCCCCCTACTCTTTTCCAAACATGGCTGGGGCACTCCATCCCACACCAAGGAGCCGGGTACCTTCCCCGGGTGGGACGTCGGGGTGGCTTGCAGAAGGGAGCACGCCGCGTTCCGGCACGGCCACCTTGGCACCACCGGCTGTGCCCCCGCTCCAGCAAAAGCCCCCCGTGTTCCCCTCCCCTGGCACCCTTGTGTGTCATCCCCGTCCCCCCCCCCCCCAGGAGGCTGCCGGGGGTGGCTCGGGGGTGGCTGCGTGTCCCCACGCCGCTGCCTCCGGGTCGATGGCGGGAGGGAGGGAGGTGCACGCTGAGCGCCGGGCCCGGAAAACCGCAGCGGTGCGAGCGGAAGCGGTGCCCCCGGGGTTCGGGTGGCAGGGCCTTTCGCAAAGCAGCAGTTGCACCCTCCGAAACCGACCTGCCACCATCCGGTACCGGGGGGGGGTGGGTGAAGTTGGGAGAAGTGATGCCGACTGAGGGGGTCGGGGTGAATTCCCCAGTTCTCCCCCACGGGTGCACGGTGACACCCCCCGCCCCGTGCCGTTAACCCCGCGTGGCTGATGAGCCCGTCCTCGTCCCCGGCAGGATGATCAGGAGGAAATCGAGCAGCACGAAGCGCCTGTCTCCCGCCCCCAGCACCCAAACCTCCTACTACAGCGAGTCCCTAGTGAGCGAGTCCTACCTGGGGGGCAGCCGGGGCCTCGCCGCCCTGGGCAGCTCCGTGCTGGACGATGCCCTGGACAGCAGCACGTATTGGGGTGAGCCCCCTCTTCCTCCCCGTCTCTCTCTCCCTCCGGGGAGCTGGGGATCTCCCTGGGCGCTGGGTGTTTGGGGCAGCCCCCCCCGGGACCGGCTGACTGGGTTGCCCCATTTTGGGGGTGGTGATGGGTGGTTTCTCAGGGGGACTCCGTGTTACGGGGGCAGGTGGGGAGCTTTCCACCAGGAGAAGAAGAGGCACAGGGGACACCGAGTCCGGTAAGATCAACGGGCTGCTGGAGAGCAAGACGTATGACACCTACGCCTCTTCGTCTGGGTACTCCTCGGAAGATGACTACGCTGGTAGGGATGCTGCAGCCTCATGAATGCTGGGGGGAGACGTCCCCAAGGAGGCCAGCCCAGGGCCCGGCTATGCCCAGGGTGCTGCCAGCCCGCCCTGCGTGCCACCCCCTGGGCAAAGCCTTTGCCCCGGGCGATGCGCAGGGATGCAGGGTCCGTTTGGTGACTTACTGCCTCGCTTCTTCCTTTCCAGGTCACTTTTACTCAGGCCAGAGTAGCTCTGGGTCGGGGCTGAGGACCGTGGCCTCCCGGGTGGGCTCCTTTCTCTGGCAGGTGCTCACCTCCCCAGGTGAGTGGAGGGGTTTTAGTGGAGGCGAGGGGGGTTTTTAGCAGCACCCAGCGTCTCCACTCCCCACGTGCTGTGTGTGCTGTTCCCTGATCGGTCGGAGGGGTTTTATCCCCTTGTGGGAGCATCCTCAGGGACATCTCTCCTGGGACCCTGCCTGAGGGTCGGTTTCTCTCCCGGCAGTTCGGTTTGTGGGGTGGCTGTTTTCGGGGCTGGCAGCTGCCTGGCACCGCCTCACCGGCGCGGCTCCCCGCCTGGGCGGCATCCCCTTCTCCAGGTGAGCGTGGTGGTGGGGCATGGGGATGGGGGAGGCGTGGGGAAATCCCCCAGCACCCTGGAGAGCCTGGCACGTGTGGGCTGGGTGTCTTGTGCCAAAGGCTGGCTGGACTTTCCAGTCCCTCTGGCCCCCATCCAGAGGAGCGCTGCGGGAGGGGAAGGTGGCTGCAGCCTTACAGGAGCCTCTTTCTTTCTGCTCCAGGCGCTACCCATGGCTGAAGAGGTCCCTGCTTCTGCTGCTGCTCCTCCTGCTCCTCGCTGCTGCCGCCTACGGTGAGTTGGCCTGGCTCAATCTCGTTGCCCTGAGTTCTGGGGCAGTGCAAAGTGTCCCACTGCCGTTCCCCGGGGGATGGAACGGCCCCGAGCTCAGTGCTTGTGGTTCCTGGCACGGGGCCGGTGCATCTGCAACCCCTCTCCTGGGGCCTCCCGGTCACCCCCCAGGCGATGCTGATGGCTGAGCCTCTGCACATCCACCCTGTCCCCCTGCTGTGGCCCGTTACCAGCCTGACGTTTTAACCACCTCACCCCCCACTCCCTGCATGCCCAGGAACTTGGTACTTCTACCCGTACGGGCTCTCGACACTCGGCCTCCCCACCTTCCCGTGGTGGGGAGCTGGGAAGCTTTCCTCCTCCGATGTGCCTGGGGCAGGGGACCTGACCGCGCTGGACCCGGTAAGCCTCGGCAAAGGCGCGGCGGTGGCCCGGGTGGGGTGGGTGCCTTGCAGGGAGGGCCGGGACAGCGTGGTCCGTGGCTGGAGGAGCCCTTCCCAGGGGATGGGGACGTGGTGAAGGATGGGGCGGGTGGCGTCCCCGTACTGGTGGAAACGGCTCCCTCAGCTTGTGGCCATCTCGCTCTCGGGGTGTCCCAGGGGTGGAGCAGATGAATAAGATGCCATCGACTCTGGGGACCGGGTGGCCTGTGTCCCCTTTCACAGGGCTCCCTGTGGAGCAGACGGCCTCCTGGGGGTCCATACCTCCCTGGGGGGTGGGGGGGGGGGGCTGCATCGTGCCCTGTTTTTGCTGCTGCAGGGGCTGTGGGGGGAGCACCGGCTCCTGGCTCGCTTCCGAGCCCTGGAGAAGCGCTTCGAGGTGCTGGAGGCCGAGGTGTCGCGGTGGGAGCTGCAGCGAGGGGCGGCAGCAGTGGCGGCGGGGGGAGAGCCACCCCCGGGGGACGTCGTGGCGCTGCTGGAGGGGCTGGTGAGCCGCCGGGACGCGGGGCTGAAGGAGCATCTCCGTGCCGATTTGACCAACCACCTCCAGGTGAGGGGCATGGGGGGCACGTGGGGAGGTGGGGGGCGTGTGGGGCCAAGCTCTGATGTTCCTCACCCTGCAGGGTGAGCTGGATGCTCTCCGAGCCCAGGTGCAGAGAGATTTAGACGGGCGCCTGGGAAAGATGGCACAAGCCTCTCAGGTAAGGGGACAAGCGTGCGGTGGTACCCGGGCAGGACATCCTCACTGCTGGTGTCCCCGGTCTCACCCCTTCCCCCTTCTCCTGGCAGGAGATGGAGGCACACTTGCTGAAGCTCAACTCGGAGTGGCAGAGGTAACGCTGTCTGTTAGGGACAGGCAGGTTGCAGGGTGAAATCCCCATAGCAGGGCTTTAGGGGGGTTTTCCAGGTCTGGTTTGCTCGGGGCAAAGGAGAAGTTGAAAGGTACAATCTTTTGGGAAAGAGAGAGGGATAGATATGTGGGTATGTCAACAAGGAAGTGCCCTGGCTGGCAGTCAGGGCTCAAAGGGTGATTGCAACAAATGGCCTTTGTCACTGTCACTTTGCATTGCTGCGGGGACGTGGCCTTTCAGCCGAGGAATGGGACGCAGGAGAGGAGGTCATTGTCGCAGGGATTAAAACCATTTGGGGCTGGAGATGAGGTTGTGTGTGGGCGGTGGGGGATGAACCTCCTCCCCCCAGTTTGCAGGGGGGAGCTGGGGCTGTCGGCGCAAGGTTTTTTGTTGCCTTTCCCTCGGCACAGCTCGGTGCAGGGGAGCTTCCAGCAGGAGGTGGGCAAGCTGGAGCAGGAGGTGAGAGCGCTGAGGAGGGAGCTGGCGAGCCTCAGGTCAGACCAGGAGGTGATGGGGAAGCACGTGGAGGCGATGCTGGAGCAGCTGAAGGCGGTGCGGGCTGATGTGAGTCCCCGGTCCCCACCCTGTTCGGCAGAGAGAGGCACGAGGGTCCCTGCCCCGGGGCTGAGCTCTGCCCCCACTGCTTCAGGTGGAAGCGCAGTTCCCGGCATGGGTCAGTCGGTTCCTGTCGCAGTCCCGGCAGGATGGGGCTGCTGGCCTCGTCCTCCAGCAGGAAGACTTGCAAGCGGAGCTCCAGGCCCTGGAGCACAAGATCCTGGCCAAAGTCTTGGAGGACCGGAGGCTGTCGGCACGGGATGCTCAGGCTGGTATCGGAGTGGCCCTGCGGCAAGGGGGGACTGCGGGGGTGACGGAGGAGGTAAGTGCTGGCCTGAGCCCCAGGGACATGATGGTGACCACAGGCGTGGGATTGGGGGCTCTGCCCCTTTGGCAGAGCCGTGGGGACAACCCTTACAGCTGGGACGTGGATCCTGGGCTCCCATCCCACCTGGCAAGAGCATCCCTGAAACTTCTCCATCCCTTCTCCGCTGCAGCCTCCCCTGGGCTATGCCTGCGCCCTGCCCTGGCAGGGGTTGCAGGTGGTGATCTCAGCCCTCCTGAGAGGCTCTTGCTGTCTTTAAAATCCAAGTTTCTGCTCGTGCATCTTTCACCCAGAGAGCAGGGCAGGTGCCAGCAAGGTCTCCACAGGTTGAGCATCTTGCTTACTGTAAGCAAGCACTTCAGCAGCACTGCCGAGTCATCTGGGGCAAAGCATTTCAGCAGAATGACACCAAGGGGAAAAAATGAGCCTGCTTGCTTTGGAAAGACAATTGTTGACAATTCCCTGTGGAGGTAGTGGAGGGAGGGATCAAGCTGCGATTAGCAGTCCCCACAGTCTGCGCAAGCTTCACGCACTCTGTAAAATTTAGACCGCAGTGGTGCTGCAGGGTCCCAGCTCCTGGGGCTGGATTTGGCTCCGAAAGGATGCTCGAGCTGGTTTCCCCCTTTTTCCAGGCTCCCCCTTTTTCCGGATGGGGGAAGCTCCTGTGGGATGGGACGGGAGGGACCAGCAGATGATGCTGGGGAGGACTGGGTGGGCTGTCAGGTTGTGTCTGGTCCCTGCTGAGGGATACTCCTTGTCCCCTGGGGATCCAAGCCTCTCTTTTGGGGTGGGGGCAGGCGAGCCCAGCGTGCCTGGGCGCTGCCCCTTCATTGCACAGCTCCTCTCGTCTTGGGCTATTTTTAGCAAACTCTAACCAGGCTTCCCAGCCAACTGCGTGTCCTCTCATTTTTGCCGCGGTGATTCATTCCCCGGCTGTTTTGTGGGAAGGTCCTTGCACCCTCTCTGTCCCCATGGGGTGGAGGCGGGGGGGGGGGGGGGGAGGTCATCAGGATGCCCACCCTGGCCCTTCACCCCTCTCATCCCCTCTGCTCCTGCCGCAGCAAGTGCATCTCATCGTGGGCCAGGCCCTGAAGCGCTACAGCGAGGACCGCGTGGGGATGGTTGACTACGCCCTGGAGTCGGCGGGTAGGTGGTGGTGGTGGTGGGGGGACACACACTCTCGCCCACCCGGGATGAGCCCCTCCTGGGGGAAGGGAGCGTGGGGGGGTGCTGGCATGCAGCTTACCTGCTGCCACCCCCCCTCTCTGGGCCAGGGGCCAGCGTCATCAACACCCGCTGCTCGGAGACCTACGAGACGCGGACGGCGCTGCTCAGCTTGTTCGGCATCCCGCTGTGGTACCACTCGCAGTCCCCCCGTGTCATCCTGCAGGTGAGGGGGGGGCACCCTTGGGGCGAAGACGCCCACTAAAGGGGGGGTGGGGGTGGGGAGGACTGGCTGGGCTGGTCCTCGCGTGGGTTTGGTGGGTTTTATTGGGTTCTCCAAGCAAGCGGCCGGGCTGATGCTGGCGGGGTGGGAGGAAAACGGTCCTCGGTGGTGGTAACGTTGCTGGTGTCTCGCTCCTGTGCTCGTAGCCAGACGTCAACCCCGGGAACTGCTGGGCATTTCGTGGGTCCCAGGGCTTTGCTGTCATCCGCCTCTCTGGCCTCATCCGCCCCACGGCCGTGACCCTGGAGCACATCCCGAAAGCCCTCTCGCCCCAGGGCACCATCCCCAGCGCCCCCAAGGACTTCGCTGTCTACGTGAGTGCTCTTGCCTGGACCCTGAGGGTGGAGGGGGGGGGGACGTGGTGGGAGGGTGCCATGGTGGAGGATGCAGGAAGGGAGGGCCAGCGAGCCCTATAAAAAAAATATAAAAGAAATACAAAAAAATATATATAAAAAAAAAAAAGAGAACAAAAAAAAAAAAAAACATCAAAACAAAAAATCCCAAATCAAAACAGAGGTTTTATATATACCTGGTGTGAGGTGCTCAGGGAGGGGCATCGGTCTTGTTTTGGTGGAGGAGGAAAGAAGAAGCAGTACTGGGGGTGGGGGGGAGCGGGGGGAGAGGGAACATTGCACTTCAAGAAAGGTTTTTGAGGGACACTGGGAGAAAGGGGATTGAGCAGGTGTAACATCCAGTCTTCCCCCTCTCCTCACCCTCCCCGCTGGCCCCTGTCCCCATTTGTCTGTTTTGGTCTGGAAGAGCAGGAGCAGGGGCCAAGTGTCCTTGTGTCTCCGCCTCCCTCTTCCACCCCGGGTGCGCTCATCGCCTCCGGTCTCCCTCTCTGATACCCCCGGTTCTCCCTTTCTGCCTCCCTGACCCTCTGTAGGGCTTGAAGGAGGAGGGAGAGGAGGAGGGCCTCCTCCTCGGGCAGTTCACCTACAACCATGCCGGCGACCCCATCCAAACTTTTTACTTGGAGGTAAGCGCTTTGCCTTCGGAGCACCTGACCCCAACAAGAAAACGGAGCCCTTAGGGTCTCTGAGCCCTCAGGAGACCTTGAGGGGCTCAGGTTTTTCCTTCCCCCCCCCCCTCCTCTCCCCAAGGGTGATGCCATCGGCACGTACCAGCTGGTGGAGCTCCGGGTGCTGAGCAATTGGGGCCACCCCGAATACACCTGCATCTACCGCTTCCGCGTGCACGGGGAGCCGGCGCACTGACCCCCCCCGGCTCGGGTGCGGGACGAGGATGCTGCCGGGCTGCGACAGCAGGAGGGGGGAATTCGTCTGGTTCGCCGCTTCGCACGTAGAAATCCTGGGATGCGCCAGCAGCCGCCCCAGGGAGCTGCTCCCCTCGGGGGAGGAGAAGAGCTGGCGTTTAAGGCGTGAGGCTTTCACTCTCCCGTGGACCGGGGTGGCAAGGCAAGAGCATCCCACGTGGGTCCTAGCGCGGCCTGGCTTGTTTTCAGTGCGTATAGGACATTTTAACTTTTTAAGCTAATTTTTTTTTTTTTTTTTTTTTAACCGGGTCTGCGCAGCCCCTCATCCCCATTGCCCTGCTCCTTTCTGACGGCGCGCCTAACGCTGCCGAGGCTTGGGAAGGGGGGTATGTAATTTTGCGATGTGCTTCACGCGGGTTTGGGTGCGATACGGTGTAGGGGACCGCGGTGACCGGCTCGGTGCTGCCCTAGCAGGTAGGAGCCACTGGTCACGGCCACTGAGTCTTTCCCCTCCACGTGGGGCCACGTCTCTTGACATGGCATTGGTTTCAGAGGGGAAATAAGACAGTATTAATATAAAACTAATAGTTTGGGGCAACAGGAGGGAAGAAATTTGGCACGCATTGGTGGCAGAGCCTGCCCCGGTGCTGCTCTCCGTCTGCTCGAGCCCTCCTGCTGCCAGCAGCTGTGTTGGGTCTTGGCGATGCCATCAACCCCCCCGGCTGGCCGGCTCTCTGGTGTTAAGCTTGATGATGCTATTGAAGACTCCTGTTGCCTGCTTCCCCTTTTGGGTTTGCTCTGTTTTGATTTGGGATTTTTTGTTTTGATGTGTTTTTTTTTTTTTTGTTCTCCTTTTTTTTTAAAAGGGGGGTGGGGAGGGGGGCTAGTTTTCCAGTTGGGATGTTGGAGGGTTTGGTTTTGTTTTTTTTTTTTTTTTGTAGTAACAAAGGAAAAAGTGACTTTTTCCATGTGCTTTCTACTTAACCTGAGACCGTTACATGGCACCGCTTGGGCGAGTGGCTTAAATGCAGAGAGGGCTAGAGCTTTGTTTAGTAGCAGAATAGTGCACACAGTAGGATAAACTAGAATAAGATGATCAGAGCCGTTTAAAATACGGGCCTGGAGTTGTTGGTGGCTTGGTAGCTGGACCTGGGAGACAAAGTCCTCCGTGGACTGCTGCTCGGCAGGGTGCTGGAGGCACTCCTGCCCTCCTTGCTCCGGAGATCTCCTCCGAGACTGCAACGCGTGGCCAGGGCCGCTCACCCGTGGCTGCATCTGCGCCCGGTGCTGCGCTCTGCACAATTCCTGTCCCTCGGTGGGCTGTTGGGTGGGAGAGGGGGAGACCTCCTTCCCCAGGGGTTGCAGGTGCCAGCATGCTGCTTCACCTCGGGGGGCAGCGGGGCCTCCCCCCTCCTGCGGCGCCCGGTCCCCAGCGGCAGATGGCTGGCGTGGGCTGACCTCCTTTCTCTTGGAAGGACTCCCTTTCCCTCCCGCCTTCTCCTCGCTGGCATCGCTCAGCTCCCCCCCAGCCCTGGCTGCAGGGGAGCAGTGCCAGAGCAGGATGAGGAGCCCCGCCTGCATCGGGCACATAAATCCCGCCTGTACCCCATGCGATGGAGGGGAGCCGTGGCCGGGGACTGCAGGAAGGATGCACTTTGGGGACCTTCCCCAGGCTGAGGAGTGCCAGGGCCATCTGGCCCCTCCGCCTCCCGGCTGCCTGCAGCATGCTTAGTTTTGGCTTAGGTTTTCGGCGTTTACAGCCCCTGCGTTCTGTTGAAAGAAAAGCTAAAGGGCTCGTGTTTAGCATTTCGGCCCTGTCTGATGCTGGCGGCATCTTCCCCCGGCACTGCGAGCACCGGGAATTCAGTCTTGCTCTGGTCTTCTCTGCTCATAGGGCGCGGGGCTGGAGAGGAGGGGAAGGGGCTGAAAGAGGTTTCTCCCTGCAGCCTGCCTTGATGTGTGCGTCAGGCAGAGGTGCTGAGCCCTGCACCCCTCCCTGCCAGGCTTGAGGGGCTGAGGTTGATGGTGGCACATCCCTTCTGGAGGAGTTTCTCCGCTCCAAGCAAGGGAAGCGAGCCTGAAAGGTGCAGCCCCATCTCTAAACAGGTTAAAATTATCCCGCGGAACCCCCCTGCGGATCTGGGAGGCCTTGCTGCTGGGAGGAAAGCAGAGCTGCAGCCCGATCCAGTGACGATAAATTCTCTCCTATATTGAGCATAGTCTTAATTCTTGGCATCCACTGCCAAAGTTATTTTAAACTTGTCTACAGCTGCCTGCTTGCCTTGCAGTCATGGACATGAGTGCCCCTCATGCACAGAGTTGTGCTTTTATGAATGCCTAGGCCTGTCCTGGGCTTGGCAGAGCAGCTCCTGTATTTAATTGAATTATAAAGAGAAAGTGGAGATGGAGCTTTCCTCCTTCCCCAGGGCTTCTCTGGCTGCTGGAGCAAATGCCATAAGCAAAGGGGTTTTCCAGCCTCGTGGTTATGTCGCTTCTGGCCTCTGGGTTGGGCTGGCAGGGGTGGGCAGGGTCCCTGCCCAAGAAAAAGTGATTTTGTGGTGAATCAGGCGTGCCGCTGAGAGGAGGGAAAGGGGGACCTCTTTCCCTGAGAATGGCGATAGAGGGGGGCGGTCTCTGCTCCTTCCAGGGGTGTGTTAACTGCTGGCTCTGGGGTAGAGAGCATTTGACTTTAGAGAGCAAGCTTGCCCCGTTAGAGACAAAACATCTCGGCTGTTTTGAGGTAAAACCCCCTGAAGACAGCAGTGAGGGGGGGTCGCCCTGGGGGGGGGTCATGCTCTTCTCTGGGGGCTAGCGCTGGCTTTAGAGGCCTCACCACTCCGACTGCGTGAGGATCCCCAGGAAGGCAGAGCTCAGGCTAGGTGCTGTTTTTCATCCCCCAAATTCCGCATCGGTGCAGGGCTGCAGCCTGAGCACCTGTACGGCGTGCCTCTTGCCAGCAGCAGCTCGCAGGATTTGTGTGACATTTTCCTGAGCTGCAAAGGAAAAGAGGGCACATAAAACTGCTGCTTCAGCATCTGCATCGCTGCCCAAGGGTATTTAAGCCTAGGGCTGATGCAGAAGATAAGCTGGGTGAGGCAGGAGAAATGTAAAACAGCTGTCAGAACAGCTTTCCCTTAGTTACTCCATTTCCCTCTTCTATTCTCCCTCCTTTTCAGTTTGCCCTACACACGTGTTACAAATTAGCCCTGCAGAAACAGATGGTTACAGGCAGGAGATGAGTTTGTATTTGATGCTGTAGCCTGTTGCAAATGCTGCACTGTTTTTTGTTCATTTTATTTTTTAACCAACAGATTGTAATTTATGCCTATGCAAGAAAAAACAAAAGACCAAGACAAATAAATTATATCAAAACCGCTATGAGTGTTTTAGGTGTTTTGCAGGTGAATTTGCAGGTGGGCATGATGCAGCTAGGAGCTGGATGAAGCTATTCTTGTAGCTCTTCTATGTATTCTCCAGGCCAGTTCGTGTTTTCCAGCCTGACACATTAACTCTAGGGTCAGTTTTCACCTTGTCCCTGAGCAGGCTCTGGGCTGCAAAAACTGCTTGGAGCAACGATGAAAATAAGACTTGCTCTTAAAAACTCAACTTCCTTGGGCCTGTGATGACTTCTAGTCTGTGACAGACCCTGCCTGTGACCTCCAGGTCAGCCCTGGGCCTCAGTCCATCCTCTGCATTATCAGGGGCAGGTGCAGAGCCTGGCTTGGCCCCCAAGGAGTGGCAAATGAGGCTGGGGCAGCAGGGAGGGCAAGGACAAAGCCTGACACATCCACCATTGAGGGTAGCTGCAGGTTGTTCTCTTTTCCTTAACAGGGGCTGTAAATTACTCAGCAGGCAGCTAAGAGCAAGCAGAAAGGAAATACTTAATTGTCCTCAGCATGAGTGAGTTAACCTAGAACATAAAAAAAGGCTGCAAAAAGGGAAACTGGGCTGGCTTGAGCTTGGAGAGGGGCACAGTGGCGTCTGCTTAACCAGGATGGGCTGGTGGCAGAGGAGCACCCAAGTACCTCCCTGCAGAAGGCCACCTTGGGGAAAGGCTTGTTCTCCGAGGGCCCTGGACCAGCCAGCTCCAGGAGGAGGAGAGGGACTGCATGGACTTTTGCTCCAGCTCCTAGCCCAACACTTACCTGCGAAAGGGTTGTGCAGGGCAGGACAAGTCTTCGTGAACCTCTGAGATCGAAGGAGGAGGCGGGAAAAGGCCCATTCCAAGCCCTGGGGAGTCTCGCTGTATTTATAGAAACAGGTGAGGTGCAAGTCACAGCGAGGGCCCGGGAGGAACGGGCAGATGCAGGCAGTGGAAGTGCTGTGCTAAAACCGCGTCCTCTAGCAAAGCATCTCCGCCGGAGCTGGCCCCGACTGACTGACTTGCTCTTGCAGCTCGTGGCACGCCCGCCCACGCACCTCACGCGGCACAGCTCCCATCGTGCAAGCAGCCTCATTTCGCCACTCTGCCATCGAGAACTGCTAAATCTTAGGAGGAATACAAGCTGTTGGGAGTGCGCAGAGTTCTTCTGCGGCCTGGCCTGCCCTCCCTTGCCGTCACTCTGAACGCAGCCTCCTCTCGTAGCCAGCAAAGGGGCACGGTGCCAGGCAAAGGTGCTTGGTCTGGCTTCCGGCATTAAAGCAGAAAGGTTTTCCAGAGGGACAAAAAGCAACAAGACATGCTTTAATTTGGAACAAACTTTTTTAAAATTTATTTTATAGATCACACCAGCCTGAGTGATCTTTGAATGCTGGTCACAAAAGAGAGATCACACCACCTCCTTTGCACGAACTGAAGTAAACCCTCTTCCAGTCTCGGCAGTCTCCTTCTTTTGGAGCACAAGGAATGGAGAAAGAGAAAACCGCCCGGAGCTCCCTGCTCCCCTCAGAAGCAGAGGGCAGTGAAATCGAATACAGTCTGATACTGCTACAGGGCCAGAAGACAAACCAACCAGGCCCTCGTGCCCTGCTTAGCCACACTTCACACCCCCTCACAATGCGGGTGCTATTAGTGTTGTAGCCGCCTATAGTTCCTCCCTCGCCGGGAGAGTGCTGGTATTTAGGCACATAGCTTGGAAAGGACTGTCTGACCTCCCCCTTCCACCCACGCTGGGGCCACTGCAGTCTCTAAGGCAAAGTACCCTCGTCTCCAAACCATGTTCCTCACCTCTCCCGTGCCTCTTGGGAGTGCTGGTGCTGGTAACGGGAGACACGCTCGCCCCTCGCCCCCCGAGCCTGCTGTTGCTCAGTTGGCTTGAAAGCCCACCTCGAATCGCAGGGTGAACTGGAATGAACTCCACACAGAGTGAGAAACAGGAACAACCCGCTAAGGAGGGACACGGACTTTTCAGTCTCCCTCTAATCGGAATAAAAAGTCCTTCATCGGAGGAGAAAGCCCTCAAAGAAACCGAGGCTGACCACACCTGCTGGGGAGAGCAACAATTTGCTGAGGATGCCACCTCCTCCCTCAAAATGCTATCATGATCCCACAGCTCACCACATGCCGGCAAAGGGTAACTCCTGTCCTCACAGAGCCAAGCGAAGAGGCAGGCTTAGAATAAAAGAGATCAAAGTAAGCAGGGAATTAATCACTTGCACAACCTAGGGTTAAAAAACACGATAACAACAAAGTTAATTCATAGGCCACCCTTGCAGGACCTTCCTGGAGAAGCCACAATTTGTCATTAAAAAAAAAAAAAAAAAAATCTTAAAAAAAATTAAATGAAAGTCATAAAAATTACCATGTACTTCCAAACCTGAAAGCACTTCTGTAAGTTTGGTACCACCTCATCATTGCCCTTTTCAGCCAAGCGGGGCGAAGACAAATCCTACCTCTGCCATGGCAAAGTTTGGCCAGCAAGTTCCAGAAGCTTTGGGAAATCTTGGGAGTAAACAAAATCAAGAGGAGGTCGTGTTTGCCTGGTGTCTTTGTTCCAAAGGTATATTACCACCTGTGATCTCTGTCCGTCGAGGTGAGAAGGCTTTCTCTGGCTCAAGGGATGGACTGAGTGTTCCTGCCCTGTATTCTTAATACTGTCGATTGAGCTGCCGCAGCCTTGAGCAGCAGGTTAGATGTGCTCCAATGTGCTCTGAACAAGCAATAGGAAAAGCAGCGTGATGGGGAGGGGAACAGGCTGGGCAAATGACTGCACATTTAATTCTCTCTCTAATGAAAATCTCAAGTGCTATCGATGTATCTGAGAAGGCTACTTAGTATAGGATTCCTCAACATCAAGAACTGCTTTCCAGTTTGTTTCCCTCAGATCTCCAACTAATGAACTTTCTTACCATCTCTTTCAAACTTCAGTCACTACAACATTAAATTAAACCCACTGAGAAATAGTTTAAGAAAGATGGAGGGCACACAGAAACGTATTTGGCACAGGGCCACAGTGGTGAGGAAACAATGCCCTATGGAGCCATCCTAAGCCATGTGTTTTAACCTTTGCAAGTCTGAAATTTCAGATGTTTGAGCACTCCTGGATCTGAGACAGCACATAGGAGGAGAGCAGCAAGTCCTGTGGACAGAATGGGGTGAGGGAGGAGGGAGGCAGCTAACTGGCTCTTTGCAGTTCTATCCAGACTCTCCTCTCATCTTCATGCACACAAAATATAATAAAAACTAATAAGAATAAAAACTAAGCCCATGATGTACAAAAATGTGTCGACAGGGGGAGGAGGAAGGTGTCAGTTACTCAGTTCTGTGTGTTCTATCACCTTCATTAGCTTATAAATTATGCTCCTCTCCATCGCTTCCTTCAGGGAGGAGGGACGATTCTTCTGCAGCCAATCAGCTGGGATGGGTTTTGGTTTAAGCTGCGCTGGATCTTTTGGATAAGAAATGAAGGGAAGGGGAGGAATTCCTCAGAGGGAGGAGGAGTATGAAATTCAGCAGCCACTGGCAGGAGTCACACAGGCTCCCTGAGACTTCACTTTATGGCGCTGACCCCCACGTCGCCGGCCCCCTCCTCCGACTTTTGACTGAAAAACAAGAAGATACAATTTAGTGCGCCGCGACCCGCTGAACCAGAACATCACACAGCAGGAGTTCAGGTGGATCACAGGCACGTTCAGACAGCGGGACGGCACTTGTGACTGACCAGCTTCCTACCGCTGCGGGAAGGAGCTAAAGCAGACAGACACATCATGAAGGATGGAGGAGAGACAGATGCACCATGAGGTTCAGCCCTTCAAGCTGGGGAGCATCTGATTTCCCAATTTTCTGAACGCTTCGCTCCCATGAGAGTCAGCAGGTGCCATGGGGCTTGGCACCTGGGAAATCGAGGCCTCAGGCTCCCTTGGCTTTGTGCAGAATGGAAGGGGAGTCCCCCCCGCACCCCGCCAGGCCTCTCTTGCTAACCTGACTCCGTTCCCAGCCTCAGGCCAGCAAGCCCACCCTTCTCTTTTAAAGCAGCCAAATACCTTATTGCCCTCACGGACGTGGGGCTCTTCATCCAGCGCAGGCTGAGGGGAAGCAGCAAGGAGAGAGAGGCAGAGGTAAGCAAGAACAAAAGCAACCTCAAACTCCCAGGGGGAGGAACGAAACAAAGAGCAAGCTGGGAGCACTACTTACAATCACAGTGACTCTACAACAAGACAAGGAGGAGATGGGGGATCAGTAAGAAGCCACAGGCATATGCCAAGGGAGAGAACCCCTGTCAGAGGGCCCTCTTCCAGCAGCCAGCCTGGCTCAAGAGGGCGAGATCTGACCAGTGGTAACTAAGACAGCTAAAATTAAGAGAGGGAACACTGACCAGGTCTCTCTTGACAGAGTCAGTTCCTGAGCCTTTCACTTACTAGATAAGTACACTAAAAAGAAAAGACCTTTACTTCTATCAGTAATAAAGCTGGTAAATAGCTCCCAAAGCCTGCAGTTAGAATTGAATTTCCATTCCTTTCAGACCAGAAGAGCTTGGCATCCTTCTCAGACAAGCTGAGCTGAGAAGTCCTAAGCAACAAAACAACCTGGATAAATTTCTCTAGAAAGAGATAAGCCTTTCCTTCTCCTTGGACATCTCCATCCTCCCTCCTTTACAGGGCAGATGACCTGTGTCTGATACTACTACTTAGGTTGTAATTTCTCTAGCGTAGGGATGTTCTACCTCTCATCCAGACAGCACAGATCCAATTCTGTGACTGGTTGCCAGATGCTTCACTAGTTCAGCTATTGGGTGTATGGAGATGCTTCCTCACTGTGGGCACAGACAAGTAGCGAAGCAGGTTGCCAAGGGAGGTTGTGTAATCATCCTCCTTGGAGGTTTTCAAAACATGACTGGACAAAACCCTGAGTACCTGGGTCTGACCTCACAGCTATTCCTATTTATAGCAGGAGGTTAGACTAGACACTTCCCAAGGTCCAACCTGAATTGTCCCAGGACCATAAGCTGCTAGCTGCTGAAAGGTCAGTCACAAGGATTCATGCAGTCATCAGAGAATTCTGATTTCTGGTGTGAGACTACCTAGATTTCTATTTGTTTCCGTTGCACATTGAGTCCCGAGGTGAGTTCAAGGGTATGAGGGGATAATGCTCGTGCTTCAGGGTGCCCTTCCTCCAACAGATGAAACCAGGATGCAAACAGCTAGGACAGGCACTGTATTTTCCTCACTTACCAATGGTTGCAGGGCAGGAGGTGTCAGTGGCCCTGCAGCTGTCGAGGGGGCCTCGTCCACAGCTGGTGGGCCTCCAGCTGCCGTCCCAGCTGGGGGAACACCATCCTCTCGTTTCGTAACAGCTCCCTTCTTGGTTGACTGCATCTTGATCTGCTGCGGCTTGGAGTTCATCGGCGAGTTATTGGTGGTCTGAAGTAGCTGCAAATTACAAAGGGAGAGGCCAAAATCGGCATTCAAATAGTGAGGCCAATTCGGCAAGGTTCAATGCTGCTTTTTAACAAAAAGCTTTGAGATCTGATACCAATAGCCATTGGGAGAAGAATGCAGCAGCAGCTGTTCAAAGAAATCTGGGCCTCTGAGCTGCCCTCAAGAACCCTTACAGGGTAGAAAGGGCCACTCAGCTGAGGTGATGCTTAGCCCTCAGTATGGCTCACAGGGACCAGCTACAAGCCCTCAGAAAGAGACCAGGCCATGAGAACCAGAGGCATCTGGCTCGCCCCCCACCTTCACATTCCCTCATCCACACCACCTAAGACCCACCACACGACAAAGCACATTGGTCATCTACAACCCATGCCAGGGCTGACGTCTGCGATCGAAGGACAGCCTCTCCCCTCAAGTTTCCAGAGCTATCCAGATTCTCCTGCTGGCTTCTCAGTGTCACAAGTAGCTAACGGGCAAAAAGGAGTCGGACTCTTCAGCCTTTACCTTAGTGATGGTACCCACAGCTTTGGTGCGGCCTTCACGGAAGACCAGACGCTGGTCTATATGCAAATATTCCGGGGTTTTGATGAAGCGAAAGTGCACTGTGGCTTTGTCCCCCGTCCGCAGGCAGTCCTTGTCCATGCTGAGAATCGTGGCTGTCTGACGGATGCTGCCACAATGCACTGTGAACGTAACGCACAAAGGCTTTCAACAGCCAGTGCCACCAGTGGAATAAGCTTCAGCCAGACATCTAAGGCAGCTCTCGCTGCTATACAGCTAACAGCACTGAGTTTGGAATGAAAAAAAAAAAAAAAAATCTACTCTGCACCAAAGACTATACAGGTCACACGGCTGCCTTTCTTCAGTCCTCAAAAAGAAAACACATATAAGCTATAACAGTTGCCTTCAGAGACTTTCCTAAAGCATCCTCAACAGAATCTTATACACCAAGCAGCCAGGCTAGAGGGCAGGAACTAAAATGAATCTCTCGGTCAGCATTTGAAGCTGAAGAATCTTTGCAGCACAGAGATCTGGCTCAGGCAGGCTCCGAGTGTACTTGGAGTCACACATTGCTTCTCTACCTACAGCCTTTGCCACTTTCCTCTGTCAGCTCCCTCCCCTCTCTCTAATGCATTATTGGGAAAGGTCAGACCAGGAACTATGGCTTCTCTTCAGGCTGACAGAGCCATCAGGAGAAAAATCAGCTCAGGCTAGAGCTGTCATAAATGGTTACCACTGTGAAAAAAAAGATAAGGCAACACTGAGACACATACCCATGGCCTGATATCGTGGGCTGATGGTGGTGGGGTGATGGAGCACCAGAATCTCTGCTTCAAACTCCCACGATGCTTGTGGATTCAGGCGGGGTGACACCATTACCATGCCTTTCCGGATGGAAGAACGCTTGATCTGAAAAGCAGAGACACAAAAAGCCTTAGTGTGATCCTCCAGGGAAGAAATTTGCTTCTCTGGCTGACTGCATCCAAAAGGATCCTAAGGGATTTCATAGATATTAATTTGTGCTCACCAAAAGGCAAAGGCAAAGCTGTTTCGCAGTATGTAACAATGTTATGCAAAGGTTGCGAAAATCGAGTTCAGCTGAAGTTTCTAAGGAAGCTTTTCTAGTGCTGGGAACACTGGACACGGACACAAGTTTTAACTCACTGATCCTTTAAAAGCAAAACATACATCCTGGTTGCACATAACCCAAGCAGATGACCTCTCCAAAAGCATGATGTCTCTTACCACAAAATGGTAAGACTGAACACATGAAGCTTGGTATAGCTATATCCCCTTAAGATCAGTGCAGCCTCTACTGACCTTTCACCAGAGACATCGCATCCGATTTTGCTGATTTTTAAACCCTGAATCATGCAGCTGGTCCTACAAGTTGAGAAGGACAGCGTAAATACCCTGCTTAGGCCACTAATGCAGATGCAGCACAAGAGGAAACTTTTCTTCCAATGGCTCCACTTTGTTACACATCCCCAATGCTATTTCTCATCACTTTGGGTCCCGTTGCTATTCCCTGGCAGCTGTCAGGTGGAGCAACCAGGACACAGCACCCACGGAGGTTCTATGGGATTTTAACGTGCTGTGAAATGAGGCAGCTGAGGTTTGCAGCAGCAGTCTGATTCCACCTGAACTCCAAGAGCACTCTAAAATCGGGAGGGTGGTTCCTGTTCTGGGAGTCTAGAGCAGATCATCTCACCTTTTTCAAAGCAAAGGAGGCAGTCTGGCCTCCTCGCACTTCTTTGACAGGCATTCTCTTGCGGTGGATGGACTTGACAGCAATAGGTAGGAAGTTGCCAAGGGGATCTGGCCCCAGCAGCAGGGTGTCATTTAGCTTGATTAGGCCTCTCAGTGTTGTCCCAGACACAACTGTTCCTACACCCTATGCCAAAAAAGAAAGAACAGTATCTGGGGTTACTCGACCATGCTGGCAGAACAACTCTAGAACTCCCCTCTCTCGGGAAGATGCCTTCTTCTACCTGAAAGAGGAAGCAGAAAATTCTTCCAAATACCAGGCCCCTTACCGGGACAGAGTAAGTATCATCTATCTGGAATTCTGCCGGCTCTTCTTCCCTGTAACTGGTCCGTGGCGACAAGAGATTAAGAAACATCTTTAGCAAATCTAGGTTCTCCCCGGTGACATTTGAAATCTGGAAAATCGGGCACATCCTGTAAAGGAAAATTGATGAAAATGGAGTTAGTTCACCTCCCGGCCTGGAATTCCACATGTAGGGAGACATCCAAAATCTTGGGACTGAATTCAATACACAGTGCTAGGAAGGGAGAGCCTTCTGGCAAGCAGTCAGATGCACAACACCCCATGTTTGAAAACCTGCAATATTGCCTCTGCCTTCTAATGACATTCAGGAATAGGTGTAAGGTTCCAGGACTGAAGGAAGCTGAATACCCTGCCATCTTCTGCAGACTGCCCAGAAGCAGCCTCTCATTTCTGTCTCAGAGCGGGGAAACACAAGCAGGTCAATCTCAGAATCAACACATTCTTATGGAATCAACACACCACAAGGCAGATGCAACCTTCACACATCTAGACAATAGGACTCTCTTTCTGAATCTTCTCACCCAGTCTCCAAATAGGATCGAAAGAGAAACGACTCTCCTCTACTCCCGTTACCTCTCTGAGCTGAAGTTGGAGGCTGTTACAATGACATCATCCTTGCTCTGAACCAGCACGGGAATCTTCCTGCACCCTGGGGACTTCAGCAGTCGCTGTAACAGCTTCAGGGTTTCTTAAAGGGTGAAATGAATATTGTTAGGGCAGCATCCCCCGTCTTTACAAATCACTTTTGTGGGGTCTCTCCCCGAAGGGAGACTGATGCTCTTGCCACAAATAGACAGGAGAAGATGGCTAAAGGTGCGTGAGTGAGACTGAGTTTGCCGCAGCCCAGGTGGGACTTAGGAGCCATTCCATCTTCCATTTCATGCCAGCTAGCCTGCTGCCAAATAACACCATACATGAACAGACAGAAACGTTTGCATCTGCAAGTGCAGTGCTGTGAAGCAGACATTTTCTAGCTGTCTATTAAGTAGCTTTAAGCAGTTACAAGGTATTTCTTCCTCCTAGAAAGGATTTTTCATATTGAATTCAATGAAAACCAGCAGCACTCAGGAATTGAAATGTTTGAGAATACGTGAATTAGAAATCCGTTTTGACCAGACAAACCTCAACACACTTTCCCTGGCGATCAACCGGCCCTAGAAGGTTAGAGAAGCATGAAAGAGGTAAAGATCACCATCACAGACTAGGACAGTGTAGGTGGACCACATCCAGAAATAAATATTTTGGGGCAAATCTCATGGCTCCTAACCTGGATCTTTTGCTTCTTTTAAATTTATTTTCTAAGCCTCCTATCTGTCTGCCAGCAGGGGCATTACCTGGTGCATTAGCGTCAGTGTCCTGCAAAGTGCCTTACAATAAATAAGGAAAAGAAAGGCTAGTGAGGGCTTAAAAGAGCAAATCATTTATATTCTACAGTTGTCATCCAATTAGATGGTTTTTGTGAACAAATGACTGCCTATGGGAAAGTAATGTTTTGGATACAGAAACACAAACATCTAATCATGCCATCTGCTCTGTACAGATACACTTGAGCCAAATATTGTGTCTATTTAATTTAAACAAAACATTACACGAGTGGCTTCTCCCAAGAGCAGCTCTTCCCTCCTCAACCCAAGCCAAACATTCTCCTTCCTTCCCAGTTATTATCTTATGGTTAGGCCTTACATTTATTTGCCAAACATCTATTATAGAGATATTTAGATTATCTTCTGACCACATGCGTCTGTTTACCTGACACGTATTTAGGATTTTTACAACAAGGAACTAACCACAGACAGTACTGGAAGCATTCACTTCCCTGATTTTTAGGACTGATTATCAAAAAAAACATTGCTTCAATTAACCACAGCGTGTTCCTGAAGGTGTGAGAAACGCATCAAGAGAATTTTAAAGGTGAGAGTTGGTCACAGCCTGAAAAAATGTCAAGCATAGGTTAAAGGGACGCTGCTGGGGTTAGGGGTGCTGCTTTAACTGTTGCTGAGCAAAAAAAGTCACTGGCCCCTGCTGCTCACCGCCATTCCTGCTTGTGTCTAGTCCAGTCCTGCTACCATAGCCCACATTTGCAGCTGTTTTGAACCCTGATTTAGTAAGTGTTGGTTGGTTGTTCAGACAGAGGAAGGAGCTGCTGCAGTTATGCTAACACACCGAGAAGTGCCCAGGTGAGCAGGATGTAAAAAGCAGCTGTCCCTTCACTTAACGGCTGCCAGAGAACAGGTTCGATCACAGCTTAAGATCACGCTCAAACTGTGGGCAAGGAGGAAAGCAGCTTTGAAGAGAACTTCCAGACTTCCCCTCCAGGTTTAAACACCCAGAGAGAAAGCAAAGCCACAACCCCCACTGTATGCTTCTCCCCCTGGGGCTCCATTAAGCAAAACCCTGTAGCAAACACTTCCAGGTTGCCCGGCTGAGTCCCCCCAGTGTGGGTTATTTTGAAATGGTGACTATGAGTGAACTGCCTGCAAAAGGGACAAGGGAAAAGGATAGATTTTTGGAAGGTCTTTAAGATGCAGTCAAAACCAGATAAAGCAGCTTTCCTCCAGCAGTGATTCCTCAACCCAAGCAGAGGACAATAGCACACACAAAGGTAAGGAACAGCCCTGGAGAGAGCTCGTAGGACCCACCTTGCAGGATGTTGGCAGGGCACATGTCGATCTTGGTCACCACAACAAAGACAGGAACGTTAAGCGCAAGTGCCAGGCCCAAGTGCTCCTTGGTCATTCCAACAATCCCAGCGTTACTGCCAACCTACACCAGGGATAAAAGATACAGTGATGCAGTGAGCTGGGTTACAGAGAAGGTCTTGTGTCAGACGCACAGTAGGCTGTGATTAGGCTGTAGATGCATCACTGGGACTGTATGAGCAGACCCAGCTTGTTTCAAATGCTGTTGGACACTGGCTAAGGACTTATTGCTTCTCACTTTTAGCGAGGTGTTCTGGAGTTTAGAAATCTTTCTCTTTTCAAGAACCATACATCTAGGGCCTGTCTGAGACTGACAGTCCTGGGGCACGTGCCTCAGAGCCCAGGCTAGATATCCACAGTGGCTGCTGCTCTCCACCTCTGGGAGATGCTGCCTCCCTCCAAAACCCCACAGGGACTTTGCAACAGGAAAGAAGTTTAGGCTCTTAAAGTGGTGAACAGCCCCGCTCCTGCTGGTACCTTAAGTCTTTCTTGCTACCTACCATAAGCATGCAGAAGTCAGGTAAATGGCCGGTCATGCCAAAGACGGTGGTTTTCAGGTACTTTTCATGACCAGCCAGGTCAATGAAAGTAATGACCTTGGTGGATTTCTCACAGATCTTTGTCCACTCCAAGCTGCCACCGTGGCTGTCGGGCTTGTTCACCACGTTGCCCTCACTGTCGAAGCCCAGAATGTCATTGCCCACGCTGCTGGTGCGGCCTGACTCAATCTCATGCTTGTGGCGGAAGAGCTTTTGCCGAGCAAAGCCTCGGCCATTGTCTAGTTCGCCATGTGTCAAGACACCTAGCAACGTGCTCTTTCCTGCATCCACATTGCCAACCACTGCTACCCTGGAGAGGAAAGGAAAAAGGAACCTGGTAAAGCCTGACACCCGAAGAAACAAAGCAGCAATCAAAAAAACCCCAAACCCAAACACCACTGCTCCTGCAAATAACTAGCGTTTCCTCTCTTACCTTCAAATGGAGGTTCAAAAATGTTAGACCTTCAAAAGCATAACAGAGATTCTTTCACAGTTATTAGTTAACAGTGGAGATCCCAGGCTCTGGGGACTGGGATGTGGAAGACTGGAAACTTGTCACTGGTATCCAGAACACAGTCAGCTGAGCCCAACATTGCTTGATGCCATACAGAATATCTCTCTTCTAACCCCTAGTCTCTGTAATCCAGCACATACACTGTGGAAATTCAAAAGAAAGACTAAATCTCATCTTGGTCTAGAATACCTCCGCCTTTCTCATATTGCTCATGTTGCAACAGCCCTGGGTGCTAGGGAGAGCACAAAAATTTAAATTGATGTTCCCAGAAAAGGAAAAGCTCAAACAACAATGAAACATTTTAGGGGAAAGCCCTCTTGAACAGCGATCTCCGTCTCTGATGAAGGTGGCTATGATGGCTGTTGGCAGATGTTGGAAATCCATTCCATCCAGGTCTGGGAAGACTTTCAAGTTTTGTTACACAAGCTATTATATGTCCATTAAAAGGTGACTTGGATCATTACAGTCTTGGTATAAAACTAAACCCTTAGTCAAAGGTATTGTATTCCAGCAGCGTGCACGTATGCACACACATACAGACACATGTGACTCTCTACTGGGGTTCCAGCCCATGAAAGATCCCCAAACTGCAAAGCTGTCACCCAGACAGCAACAGCCCTCAGCTAAACACAGGCAAATCTCCACAAACAGTTTGTTCACAAAAGAGACAGCAACAACAACAGGCGATTTCATTAGCAAGGAGTGGTCAAGCTCAATTCCCTTTGTTGGGTAGCTACAACACCCAGACTCGAATCAGCGTTGCTGGCTCAGCATCACAGACTGCTCACAGGGTAAAAATGCAGCTGGGCTGCTGACTAACCCTGTCTCCACCCGGCTCCTCACCTGACCTCCAGGAAGTCGTTGTCACCCACACGTTTCCGAACAAGGTAGTCGCGCACCTTGCCCCCTGCCTCCTGGTGCTCCCGCAGGAGGATCACGTCTGCCTCGATCTGCTCTGCCATGCTCTTCAACGTGGCATAGGATGCTTCCATGTCTGCCTCGCTCAGACCGTATTCAGTCCCATCTAGTATGATGTTGAGGAGACAAAGGACAGTCAGTGAGCACCGCCTGGCAACGGCCAGCAGCAACGTCAGTCTGCCTGGGACTGCAGCACTGATCAGGATTGATACGTGGACTGGAGATGCCAGCCGTGTAAACAGAGTAAGCACCCTTTGCCCAAAATATAAAAGGATGGTCTTCACGAAGTCTTCAAAGATACTAGAAAAGCGCCATCTTTCACCTGGAGGAGTTTTCTCCACAATTTCTACAAGCAAATACCTAGGGATTGGCAAGACATATTTCTGTCTAAGTCCGTTACTTCACATGCATGCAATTTCCTTCAGTCAGATAAAACATCTCCTCCCTCATTCCAATAAAGGGAAAAGCATTAACAAAAGCAAAGCTCTGACTGAAATAGCACCACAATTAAGCAGTGAATGTGGTACCAGTTTAAACAATCAGCTTATTTTATTTATAAAACCACATCCCAAGTGCGCGTTTTCTGCAAGTCTGGCCTGCATATCAATTTCTTTAGCCCCCACGTACTCCAGTTAAAACAATGGTTTTGGCATGTCTCACTGCCTTCATCCTGGTACTTGAAAGAAATGCTGACAGCACACGAGGCCAGAAAAAAACAAGGAGGCACTCAATGCTGCTTCTGAACAGCCCACCCAAGCAAAGAGCTGATAGCCAGAGTAAGCCAGTGGCCAACACAGCTCTCAGTTTCTCTCCTAACCCAGGTGCCGAGAAGCTGCACAGATTTCAGGCCAGAATCTCCTCTGTGGGTAAAAAAAAAAACAAAAACAAAAAAACAAACCCAAACAAAAAACCCCAAACAAAGGTGGAGAGCCACATAGCACCTGGATGACCAAAGCTATTGCTGTGTGCACATTCATATGCATGGCTGACTCAGCTGGTAAGCAGTAACTGCAGTTTGCATGAACTAATCAGCATTTTAACTACTGCACAGCTCTACAACAAGTAGAGTTGCTGGGTGATTTCCAGCCTAGCTCATAAGCTGGCTGAGAAGCTGTTGAGGTGGTGGGGAAAAGAAAAAGCACCACTGCTAGGGTCTTGGGTCGTAGAAGGGGTATGAGAAGTAGAGGTTAGGAGAGGGTGAGAGCCCAGGGAGAAAGGGAAGGGCCACTACTGATAAAGCAGCGAGCTTCCTGGCAGTCTTCATTCGCTTCTCAGTCACTCGAGCTGGGTATCCAGGATGATCAAAATCATAGGCACTGAAAGTGAACAAGAAGGAGCAATGGTGGGAGGGACATCGTGATTTTTTTTTCCTGTTGGTTATTGTTTCCAACTCACAGAAAAGATCCCCATCTTCCTTGACAATGCGGTAGCGCAAAATGAAGTCAGAAGTTTTAGCTCGTGTTTTAAGAAACAAATGAAATGACTACTTCTAAGCACATAATTGCAACAAACACCAGTTAACACCCTCACAAGGTATCCTAGAAGATAAAGCAGTTACTCATCTGACTGGCTACACCTCTGCTGCAGATGTGGTTATCCCAAACACCAAGGATTCAGACTACACTTGGGAAGCTCGCTTGGAGGCAAGAGCATTACCCCCGATACTGGCTGCATGACCACTGGCCATCTAATCCTGGCTTCTCTCCTACGTTGGCTGCTTCGCAATACACCAAGAAAACCCACAGTCCTGAGGCAACACAACTCTCTCCATCATTTCAGCCAACCATGGCACTGACAACCAGGGTTTTGTATTCTTCCTCAAACACAGTAACCCGTAGAATGTCTGATCATAACAACTTGATATCCAACAGATATCCAATATATCTGAAACATGCCGTTAGCCTTATGATAGCCGCAGACAATTTTTTTGCATCCAGAAAAGAAAATTCAATTTCAAAGCAAGGCCGTGTTCAATATTATTCTACCAGCATCAGATGGAAATATTCAAATTGTGAAAAAGAACAAAAAGGTAATCCATGCCAACTGCTAAGATCTGCAAAGGCAAATGACTGCAGTCACACCCAAGTTAATGTGACAATAAAGGCCTCATGCTGAGAAAAGAAAAATCTTTCTCTCCATAGTACAGACACACACTAACAAGTAAAGTCAGCAGCATATATTTTGGATATCTGAAGCATCTCCAATACATTCCTGTGGGGTGAAAATACTGTTATTTACAACAGAGAACGAGACAGAACAAGACCTCCATCAGACATTGAGGACATCTATACTAAAACTGTTACTATAATTTCAGATCCTTCGTCTTTCCCTGGTGTGCCCAGACGATTTACTCCTTATTTCCAAAAATGTGCTTGTATGATTTTATACAAAAAATATGCTTAGCTCCACTACATAAGACAGTTGCTGGCAGGAACAAAATAAAAGAATGTCCCACGTGTTCTGCTATACTTTATGGAGGTTTCCAAGTTATTCTGGAGAAGTAAGTACTACCTTCAGCAGCAGTCCAGTTAGATGAACTAGGCTTTTCTTACAATTTTAATGTCTTTTGCTGTTTTCCTGAGGAAGTTATACTCACCTGATCCTTGACCAATGACATAGATAGTCTCCCCACACCCTTCATCAATCCTCTCTGACATCTGCCGGAGCAAACTGTCATACTGCTCTGAAGTGGGACTCACCATCACCAGCTGGAAAAAAGATTAAATAACCATTTGAAGATGTCAAGCAAACAATTTCAAAGCCAGCTTCAGTTACAAAGACAATCAATCCGTGTGTTTTATTGAAAGAGAAGGGCTCTTTTTCAAGGACCACTTCTTTCTGGTTGTTGGTTTTGTGTTGTTTTTTTTTTTTTAAACCATCTTCACTGACAGCTATTTCCTTATACACCGCACAAGGTTATTTGTCTGAGCTCAGAGTTCATTTATGTTGGAAGATATACTTCAAAGCAAATAAGAATACGTCGCATCTCATTTTGAAGTAACCAATGTTTAAAAACCACATTTAAGTGACATCCCACTTCTACTTCTGTGTAATACATGTTGTCATGCAAGGAAAACAGAAAGGGGAGGAGGTATTTTTTCCAAATAAATTCCTTAGCTGGGTACTCCACAGTCTCTGCTGCACAGAGTGCTGCTGCTCCCTCAAAACATGATGGGACAGCCAGAGGAAGCCAGCCAGACCTCACTGCAGAGCACACCAAGGCACCAAAACTCAGAGCATCTCATAAGTCTTTCACACACTTGATCTCCCCTTTTGTTTTCTGAGGGGGAAGAGGGGAAGGAGAGAACATGAATAAGCATTATTTTCAAACTCCTAACAAAACTCGAGGCACTTTACGCTACAGTGCTGAGAGGCAGACACACAAAGCAGTTTGTATGAGCATATTTGGACATTTTACCAGTGGAGAGCTGCAGTTTTGCAAGTCAGCAGCTGTGTTACCAACAAGTTTTGGCTGCAATTATTGCAACAACCACAGCTTCCTTTGCCCTTCCCTGCAGAGGCGTCAAGAGAAGGAAAAAGTAGACAGAAACAAACAGGAAAATGAGGACAACACGACAGTGCCTCAGGAAGGATTTGTCTTGGAACAGAATGGTGTAGCACTATTTCTGGCAAAAACCTGTGTCGCTCATACGGTGCAGCCGAGGACACTCGCACAGAGCGGCCACAGAGGTGGCGTGGCAGTGGCAGACCAAGGAGACCTTCATCACCCATTCGGGACCGACTGGCTACCTGCTCGCTGGCTGCAAATCTGTCGGTGGCCAAGCACCCTGGCACAGTGGCTCAACAGCTGTTGTGATTGAGATAAGCATTTCAGTTAAAAAGGCACTTTTAGGAAGAGTTGTAAAGGCTATCGCCTACCGATAGCCCCATGGGTAGGCATGCCTGTGCCACGCTGTAACACCCAATGAAATCTGTACTTCCACTAGCTGTCCACATACACGTTCCAAAATCATGAAAGATGTACTTCCCTTCACTGCACTAAGGGCAGTCTGAAATCTCTGCTAGATTTGCCTAAAACACATGGTTTACAGCAGTTCACAACGATTAAATCTTCAAGACTGCCCAACATTCTCTACTAACACAGCATAACTTGCTAGCACAGTTAACACAATGTGTATTCAAGGAAGAACTACCTTTACCACCTACTACGACTACTACATAATTGATGAAGACCTTTACTAGAAACCTAGTGTAAGGGAATCCAAAATTGCAGAAATACCACTTAAGCAGCTCTCAAAACTACAGCGATGCATGCATCTGGAAAACCGAAGCACAGACAGCAAATGCTGGTTAGAAGGTGTAAGGCAGCCAAAGCAACACTTTCCTCAAATGTTAAGGGTCACACAGAGCACGTACGTGTCTGAAAGGGCCAGACAAGAGAAACAATCACCTTCACGTGCCTCTTTTAGACACATGCCCTACCTAAGCCTTTTAACTACTTGGCACAGTACACAAAGAGAAACAAAGCACTCTGATCTGGAAGGCCACATAGTCTTTCTGTTTCATGCTACAAAGGACTGAGTTTGGCCTTTATTAGTTGTTCTTTCGGTTTTGTTTTCTTCTTAAAGGAGACCACAGGGTGTAAAAGTATTGAGAGGGAAATCAGCAACTGTTCAGAGGCTTGGTCAGGACAGAAATGGAAGGCTGTGTGTTGATGTGTAGGCCTTGTTTCACCCAGCAAGCACTTTCAGGAATTCCTAGAAGCACAGCAGACAGGCTCACTGTGTAGGCTAGGGCACCAGCACAGGTCAGGAACTCAGGTAGATCTATTAAATAGCCTGTCATACACATAAAGATCAATAAAATAACAGAGGCCACCAGTGTAGAAGCACACTAACTTCACTTTCTTCAAGTCTCATCACCAGCTTCATTTTAGTACGAGTTCAAATGCTTCAGCAGTGCGAGTGGGCAAGGTGTTGTCTAAAGTACCAGGGGACATTTCAGCTGAGCAGCTCACTGTAGCCTTTCTTCACGGTGCCAGGCAGGAGGGCTGGGGGCTCAACCCGCACGGTACCCCCACACACATCAGCTCAAAACACTGTTCTCCCACCCTGCTGCTTTCACTGTCATGCAAAGGTGCTGCTGAAGAGTGTTCCAGTGGTAGACTGCCTCCAAAGCCTACCCTGGAGCTGAGGAAGCTTACAGCTGATAGGATATAGTGGGACGTCAAGAGATGGATGTGTAGAACAAATAGCAGCTTTCACGGATCACACCTTCCAATGCCATTCAGGATTTCTAACGGCTGCTTCTGCAGCTCGCAGCCCCCAGCCAGTTCTGCAGTTTCCTAGGTCTTTGCAAGACTTTACTTGCTGTTTTGAAGATCAATTTGTCTAGCTTCCTGAGCAGAGGTAGCCTGTTCTTTGCCATCTCCTTGGTTGGAGAGAGGCCCTCCATCTCAGCCTCTCTGCTTTTTTTTGCCTTTTCACCTTTGAGCAATCCCTTCCATGCTTGCACTACATATTCATGTTTTTCAGAGGTTTTCACAAAGTCAAAAGTTTTCCCTTTTGTTCTTTCCACTTTGCCACGCACTGAGCAGTTAACAGTAGGAGCCATGTGGGTCTAGCAACCTCAGATTTCCTATAGGGCAAAAAAGTAACAACCAGTTATTGTTTTATTCTCATGACCGCAGAAGGAAATATACCTCACAAGCTTGAGATGCCATTTTTAAAGTTCCTTCCCAATCTCTGGGGAGAGGTGGCTCTTCCCACCTTTCCTCTGATCAGTTTTGGGATTAACATACACCAGAGGTGGGTAACAGCTATCGCTTTGTGAGCTTGCTCCAGGGAGACGAGTTGGACCGTGCCATTCTGCACTGCCCAACAGCAAGCAAGAAGCCATAGTATTAATTAACAGCAATTTGAAGATACCTGTAAGACTGAGTTTAGGTTATATCAGCACTACTACAGGCAGTCCTTACAAAAGAAGCATCCCCTATCCGTGAGGCAGTCGGACTATAAAGCTTAAGGCCAAACCAAATCCTATGTGGTACATAGTGCTGCTCTTTATTGGAATAACACTGCCTGACATTTTGCATGGCTGAAAGGCCACCACCAGCCATTGGGAAGTCAGGGGAAAAGGACCTTCTCTAATGTCATATTTTGCTTTCTATTTCCTGGGGCCATACGTAGTTCAAGTGCTGTTAATGTTGTCAACGTAGATCTAATATAAGCATCAGCTTCACTAATAGCCTTGTGTGATATGGTTTTGACCTGAAAGATGATTACTACTGCAGTGTGTTAGTACTGAAGGGAAAACAAACACCCATTAAGATCAACACGATAATGAATTTGTGCTGATGAACGGAACCACTTGCTTGACCAGCTGACAAGGTGTACTTGATAACTGAATCCCAAAGCGTTCCTCTCTAAAAACAGCACATCTTACAACGAACACGCTGGGGGAGGACTGGGAGAAAAGTATGTAACACAGCGAGGGGGCAGGTCAGACCAGAACAAAAGTAGCAACCAGTAAACAAATTGACTGCAGTGGGAATCATTGTTCTAAGCAGGAACTGGAAGGCACCAACTCAACTGGGAAGACAGAAAAGACGGGGGGATCAGGGGGACAAAGCAGGTTAGCTACTGCATTCACACCACAGGGGATTGCTGTTTTGAGCACATAGCGGGAGACTAACTTGGAGAGATGGGGCAGAGCTTGTAATCTTAGCTCTCCCCCGAGATGGGGATGAATGAAAGGTCTAGGGAAAAGATAGCAGGTGTACACTGCTGTATGGAAAAGTAACTTGTGGTAAAGGTCAAAAAAAATGCTTACCCATCACCTCCATAGTGCCTGCAGATTCCTAGGAATGGAAGACAGGCTGACAACACAAATGGAGGTTGTAGGAAAAAAGCATTTCTCCCTCTTCGTCAGTTTTGGTCGGGCTCCTGGCTGTCAAGAATCAGCAACACAGCCCTTGGCATCCTCCTGGGTGCTCTTCCACATCAGCCACGTCCAAGACACAGCACAGATCGATATTGGCATCCTGTATCAAAATCTTGTCCAGCTCATTAAGGCACGAATGGGTGGCTCAATAGATACGGCAGGTTTGATTTCTGTCCTTTACTATCTTATAAAACATCTTCATAACATTCATTTTAATATAGTACCACATCGTAAAATTTCTGGTCATCCCCTCAAAACCAAGCATTTCCACATCCACACACCATAATTCCTCTCTCTCCATTTCTCCACTGAGGACAAGAAAATCCAGGACTTTGGAACAACTCCAGCTGGAAGCATGAAGAGGAGGGATAGCAGAAAACCAGGAGGAAGCACTGGTTATGCTGACTTCTGGATCACGTAATTATGAGTGGACCGAAACAAGTTTTCAGGAGACTTTAGAGTGTGAGATGGCATCACGATACAGCAAACCCTTGGCAGCAAAACTTATACAGCTGAAGGTATGAGCCAAATGGGAAAAAATGGGAGATGGGGTAGAAAGGAAGCTAATGTAGTCTGTTGCGGGGTCTGGCATGCACATATTACTACAACATACTTTCTTGCAAGATGGAAGAATGGATTCTGACAGAAATAAGACCACCACACAGTTTTGTCACTTGCATCCTAGCATGGAATTGCACAGAGTGAACAAACCTTTAAGTGTTGACATAACTTGGTTTGCAAGAGCAAGGCACCCTTGCCGTTGAGCCCTTGTGCTCAAAAGTTACAAGCTCTGACCTGCTTTTAAGATTGTGGAGAAAGCCCCGGGAACTAGTACAGCTGGTGGCAAAGATAACTAGAGAGAACCAGCGCAGAGGGGAATCGTCAGCGAGACGTTAAAGCGGTTGTCAGCTCCAAACCCTGCGCTTGCTGAGAGGATGCAACACCCGCTGCAGGGGCTTCCCCGAGGAGGGGAAGGAGCGGGGTTGGCCAAACCTGCCAGCACCCTCCTTGCCCGGCCACGGCACGGTTCGCTCTCAGCTTTTCGCAGATCAGCTCCCCCGCGGCACGGCGGGCTCTGCCGCCCGGCCGGCTGATGCCGGGGCGAGGGGGAGACCCCCGGGGACGCAGCGCCAGCCCGCGGGCAAGCCCCGGGGTGACACCCCCCCCCACACACAAAACCCCTCATCCTCCTGAGGCGAGGGAAGCGGCGAGCGGAGGGGCTGGCCCCCGGCTGTCGGGCCGGCCCCGCTCCGACCGGGCAAGGCGGCCGCCGGGGGAGAGAGGTGATGGCGCTCGCCGCCCCCCCCCCCCCCTCCGCGCCGGGCCTACCTTACTGGTGAGGTCGATCTCGGGCTCGCCGTTGAGCGCCTCGCCGTCCTCAGCGTCGAAGGCGGCGCGGAGGGGACACGCAGCCGCCGCCACGCGAGGCCCCCCGCCCGGGGAGCCCGGCTCCGGGGCGAACATGCAGGCCGGCACCGGGGACCCCCCCATCGGGGATCGGCTCCGCTCCGCCGCCGCCATCTTCCCTGCCCTAGCCCTCCCCGCGCCCGCCCCTCCGCCGCGGGAGGCGCGGCGGCCCCGCCCCCCGGCCCGCCAAGGCAGTGACAGCCAATCACGGGCCGGGGAAGGAGGTGATTAGCCCGTAGCCATGACGGCGGCGGGCGGGGTAGTTGTTATTCATCAGGGAGGGTCACGCCCCCCTGGAACGCGCGAGGCCAATGGGAGACCGACTGCCACCTCGACTTGTTTTCTATATATACACACACAGCGGAGCCCACTCGACGCGTCCGCTGCGCCCTACCCAATGGGAGAGCTGGTCCTCGTGACAAACAACCCCAAAGGCCAATCGAATAGGAAACCTTGAGCGACTGGGTGGGACTAAGCCGCCTCCACCGACAAGCCGGTCCCGCCCTGGCGGGTGGGTACTTTCTCGGGCTAGCCAATGAAAAAGAGGAGATTTTTGAAGGGCAGCTGCGTAAGCCAATGGAAGGGGGAGGGAGCGCGCCGGCCGTCGCTTCAAGCCGCGGGCCCGGCTGCCCCGGCCGGGCGCTCCGCTGAGGGGACGGGCGCCGGCAGCTCGCACGCCTTGCTGGGGCGGCCGCTACCTCCCGGGGTCGGTTGAGGCTCGGCAAAGCGACCCGCCGCTCAAACGGGAACGGCCGCGCCACCACCCCCACCACCCCCCCCCTCCAGTCCGGGGCTCCTGGCAGAAAGCCCCTTCGCCGGCTCCCCGGGCGAGCGGCCGCGGTTCAGCCCAGGCGGGGCAGGCCCGCCGCGGCCGCGGGAAAAAAAAAATCCTCCCCGCTGCGGGATTCTGCGCCGCGCACCCGCTCCCCGACCGCCACAACCGCCAGCTCGGCCCAGAACGAAGTCGGGGGAGGATGGATGTTTATTCAGCAGGCGGTAAACCGCTTCAGTCGTCCCGGCTTGTTTATCACAGCGTGGAGACTCGGCGCTCTCATTAATTAAACAGGCAAGCGGACGAAGGGGAGCGGCAGCTCAGGGGAATTAACTCGCCTGAGGTTATGGGGCGCGTTAGCCGCCGGGCCGGGAGCGAATCCTGCCTACCGTGAGCCGCGCGCCCGGGGGGAGTGGGGAGGCGTTTCCCCGCCCCTCGCGGGGCCGAACCCGGGTCCCCGCAGCGCTCCGGGGCGGACAGACCCGCCTCGCTGCGGCGGGGCGCGGGATACCGGGGCCCTCCCCGCTCGTGTGTCGCCGCCCCCCACCCCGGGCCGTACCCCGCCGCCGGCGTTTAGGGCGGGGGGGGGGGGTGTGGGGTGTGTGTGCGCGCGCGCGCGCGCGCGACGTCGGCGCGTGCGGGGCGGGCCGCGGGGCACGCGCGCCGCGGGGGGAGGGGGGTCACGAGGGGGAGGAGGAAGGAGGGGGGGGGGGAAGGGGGTAAGAGCGGAGGGAGCGGGGCCCGGCGCGCATGCGCGGGCGGTGTGGGGCGGCAGGGGCCGGGGGAGCGGGTGAGGGCGGCGGGGGCTCGGCGGTTTCCCTCCCGCCCCTTCTTGAGGGGAAGGGCGGGCGCCTCGGCCCGGCAGCGAGCCCTGAGGGGCGGGGAGGCTGCTTGAGGTTGGGGGGGGTGGGTTCGGTGGGGGCCTTTCAGGACTGCGGAGGTGTGGGGCCGGGCCTCGGCTGTGGGAAGCGGCTACCCCCCCCCCCCGCGCTCGGGTGGGGGTTGTGGTTGTTTGTTGTTGTTGTTAAGGGGTGGTGGTGGTTGTGCGAGCGTGGGGTGGGGAGGGCCAGGGTGGGAAGGTCCCTCCTGCTGCCTGCCCTCCCCTCGCTCCCGCGGGCTTTGTGCTGCCCCTTCCCCGTTGCTAATGGAGGTTTTTCCCTTTGTCGGAGTGCAGGGTGACTTGCGAGGAGACTACCGTCCCCGGAGCCTGGACCTGAGGTTTTTTGTGGCCTAGCGAGAAGCGGTTTCCTTTCCCGAGCTGTTGGCATCTTCTTGCCTGGATTCAGTCGTTCCCAAAGGAATGGAGGAATGCAGCTGATAAGTCCTTAACCACCCTGTGCTCCTGTAGGCAGCACTAGAAGCTGGCTTCATCCTCCCCACTTTGGCACTTTGGGGGTGGGCCTCTCTTTGTTACCTGCTCTGGGTACCTTCTTAGGGGCACTATAGACCAAAGGAGATGGAAGAAAAGGAGCGATGTGATAAATTTCAGCTGGTACCTTGAGACTAAGGGGATTCATATCTTTTGACTTTTTTTTTTTTTTTTTCCTGTGGGGGGTGGGGGGGAGGGAAGGATTACATTTTATGGGGTATGGGAGGAGGGAGGAAAAATATGTTGCAGATCTTTATGTGGTTTTTAAAACCAGCCATCAGAGGCAATTACTGAATAAACTGAAGCACAAGAGGGAGGGTTTGCGAGCTGGAAGCAGCGCTAGCCTGCAAAAAAAGGGGGCAGTGGGCTGCTGTTGTGACTGCGGAGGAAGAAATTTCAGCCTCCTTCGTTTCTCACCACCTACTCACCATCCACCCTACGCGAAAATGAGTTGCGTGCCATGGAAGGGTGACAAGACCAAATTGGAATCACCAGAGCCACCCCAGCTACCACCACTGCATATTTACCATGAGAAGCAGCGTAGGGAGCTGTGTGCCCTCCATGCCCTCAACAATGTCTTCCAGGACAGCAGCGCCTTCACTAGGGAAACCCTGCAGGAAATTTTTCAGAGGTAGGATATTCTTTGCACTGGTGTTAGCATCCCCTCATCCTCTGTTGCTTGGAGGCATTTTCAGGGCTTATTTGGGGGGGGGGGGGGAAAGAGTGAAGGAGGGGTTCAGAACATGCCACTGCTTTGAACTGAATGTAGCTTCTTGCTTCTTTTTTAAATCCCCCCCACACACACACACCTTTTTTATTTCCACCCTTTCCATGCAGAAATTCTTTCTTTTTACTTGTTTCTGAAACTATTCTGGCTGCCAGTTTGGGGTCCAAGGGTTTTATTGCAGATGTTGTCATGTGGTTGGTTTGCTGTATTCTCCCCCACCCACCTCAATGCATCTTCTACCCGTCTTTTGCCCCTGCCTCGAGTAGATATGTTCTCTTTATGTTAATAGCGGACTTTCCGATTGCCTTTGGAGAGTGAAGGCGACAGGAATGACAAATGGGTCATCATAAAAACTTCTTGATTTAGTACTGCAACGCTTCTACATTTTTTGGAAATGAGGAGCTGTGCCAAATGAGTGACTCCTCATTCAAGCAGTCAAGTGAAGTTCTTCAAATATTATGGGTTTCTTTCCATGCAGCTAGACCCTGTGTACTCTCTCAAACTGGATTTAGTTTCAGTAGCTAGATCCCCATTTTCTGTGGCATTGCTAAATGCTTCCCAGCAGCTTCAAATAATTAATAAAAGTGGGTTTTGAATTTTACTGGGACGAATGGAAATTATTAATGTGGCCTATACAGTAGCTCATATTTTGCTAAATATTTACTTTATGCTGTTTTGGTGCTTTGTGGAAATTCTGAGTATGCCTGTGACAATTGTGATGACCTTTCATTGATGAAGCAAAGTAATCCAACAGGAAATGGGGTCTCCTCTGATACTCCATCTGTGGATGTTGTACTCGTTGCCCGAGTTACGCTTGAATACCTGTTGCCAGCAGTTGATGGTATCTTGTGTTTGTGACAGGTAGGAGATAGATCGTGCTTCATGCCTCTGGTTATGCAGGTACTGTTGGACACGGCAGTCGCGGTACCCTGTGCTGGTGAGCAGGGTGCTGCGTGCCTGTTGCTGCTGTCCTGAAAATCAGCAGACTTAGGGAACTGGTGCTTGACTCATCAAACACGTGCCTGTCTTTGGCAAAAAAAAATGTGGCGATGGACAGCAGCAAATTGAAATGCTATTCATGATAGTGTTGTAAATAAAATTCCTATTGGTGAAGTGGAGCTGGTCCACGGCAGGCTCAAGGCACTCTTTGTCCAATGTAAAGATGCTGTGGTTGTGTTCCAGAGCAGCAATTGTCAGAATCTTAATCACAGATGGATTGCTGTTGGCCTGAAGCAAACAAAGGCAGTTCATGTGGTAGAAGGAGTGTGATGATCTAATTAGTTGGCTTTCATTGGGTTTGGTGAGAGAGAATTAGTGTGCAGCATGAAACCTCTCAAAGAGCTGGGTTGTTAATCTTGTCAGACCTCTTGCCCGAGAACGGAGAATTTGTCTTTGATTCCAGCACGGTATTGTTCCATCCTAATATTCAGATCGAGATACAGAGATTGATTCAGCCCCACGGTAGTATGGGAGTATGCGTGGAAATTCCTCTCAGAAAGGGATGAGCTATAAGCTGCGCATAAGAGTTGCCACTACCTTTGCATCACTGTTGGGTTACCATGCTTGTCTAGCTCTTTGACTTGCCTTTAGGTAGTGTGGATCTAGTTGCCCTTTATACATCACTTTTGTATGTCTTTCCTATGTCTAGTCATATTCTGTGTGTTGATAAAGGACTGATGAATAATAAGCTACAAAAGTGCTGCAAGGTGTGATTTTTTTTTTTTTTTTTTTTTTTTTAAACCTGATGTTGACAAGGTAACAAAATCACAAATAAGCTTTAAGCTTTCTGTAGCTTTTACCACATCCCCTGAAGAATGACTGAACCGCATTGCTTAATCATTAGTTTCCCTTTTGCTGCATCTCCTTGCATAAGGCCAGTATAGTCTGATGATTATCATCTCAAGCGTATGCCAAAACTTGGTCCAAGCTCCCCTCTCATTCTGTAGTCCTTCCTTTCTTCTTTCCTCTAATACAAGAAATGCCTTTCTGATGTTGCTCTGGCTTTTTCTTGCAGGAAGTAAGATTGCATGTTCCAAATGTTGCATGAAGATACGCACAAAATCTATTCATTTCACTGGAGTCTGTGTATTAAGAGCTGGTTAGGAAAGACAACTGCATACAGGAATCTTGGAGCCTGCTGTGTAAAGACAACATGCTGATGAAAGTTTCTGGCTTAAAAAGCTGGGGTGGATTATTTCCTGGATTTCTGTCCAGCCTTGTCAGTCTTCCCCAGCTTAGTGTCTAGATAAAACAAAAACAAACTTTGGGGAGGCAACTTAATTCCTTCTCTAATCAGAATCCTTCAGCTGATGATTGTGGACCCTACTTGGGTGTGAGCAGAGATGTTGAGGCAATTCTTGGTGAAAGTTTGTGCATGGGTACCTGTTCTTTGAGTGTGTCGCCTGCTGGTCTTTTCATCTAATTACTGGGGCTCTGAAAGTGAGGGGAAGGAACAAAGATAATTGTGTTCTTTGAGCTCTCAGATGAGCTTGTCTCTGGAAAACGGTGCCACAAGAGGGTGCTTGTGCAACCCAAAGGGCTCTGCTAATTGGTAGGCTTTCCTAGCTTGCTGGCACTCATGAGAGTTACTAGGCTGAAGCAGTGGTCTCGAGGAATTAGTTGTAGCCAAGTGATCTTGTGTTATGGAGGTGCTGGAAGAACTGTGACAAGCTGAGGTCACATCTCTGATAGATTAGTAAAATACAGACAGAGCTTTGGAAACTGGAAACCATGATTCTGTGAAAATGTCACTGCCTTACTCGGAAACGCTCCGTGGCAAGTATTAATAGCTTTTCCTACTACCACGTTGTTTTGGACTCTTCTCCCTTCTGTAGTTAAGTCATTTCCCAAGCTGTTCTGCGGCAGTGTGCTCCACTGCAAGAAAACTCACAGCAAAAAGCTACCTGTCTGTAGCCTCTCTAGCCTTGGTCGGTGTAAAACTCCCTACTCAATCCACGGCTTTCTCCTTCCTGACAAATGCCTCGTGTTGTCGGGGGAGGAATGCAAAAGGGCTGAGGGGTTTTCACTGGATGAAATGCGCCTGCAGAACTTGGACTGTGCTAAAGGCCAAGTGAAAAACGTGCAGGAGCATCAGGGGGTTTGTGGCACGGAGGTGATGTGAGGGAAAGGCAGGTGAAACCTGGATATTTGGATGATATGAAACATCTGAACTTTGTGCCAGCAGAGCTAATAGAGGCCCTATCAATCAAAAGAGCAGCTCGTCACAGCAGAAGTGATCTCAGGCTTGACTTTCTTTGGTTTGGTGTTGCATGACATTGCTGTTCTCTGCTCCCAGTGTCCCCCTGTGCTTTCTATTCCAGCTGTTGAAACCCATCAGTCACCTTCATAGCTAACTCATGCCTCTTGTTGTTTCCCACCCTTACAAAATTTCCTGGGGAGGGAAAAAACAGAAAACAATAAAAGTGACTGTTTTTTTTTTTTGCCGCATGTCTCCATGTTTTATGTTTTGTATACGTTATTTGCATTTGTGCAAAGGCTGTCTTATATTTTTGCATGTAACATGATGGACTCTGACGCTGGATTTTTAGATGTTGTAGTAATGCAGGTAATGTCTAGGCAAGCTTATGGATTAAAGCTGAAGAGATTTGTTTGCAACAAGGTTATCTGTTCAGTTACCTACAGCAACAGATACTTTTTTTTATCATATAGCAATGGCAAAGCTTTAGAAACCCCCCAAACACAAATATCTTCACAGCTTTGTGTCTGAATACTTCTTTCATTGACCAGTGGAGGGGGTGAGGGAGAACAACCTTTTCTGCAGCCAACCCACCTTGCCTCTTGGTATCCAGTCTTCAAGACTGGTGTTGACTATTGAACTCCTGAAATTGTGTCGGTTCTAAGTGGCAAACTGGCATTTACTCCAACCATGAATTGAGGAAAAAGGAATTGAAGCATCCTTCAGAAGTACCGGTTCAAGGGAGGGAAAAAATCTTCCTGCTTCGCTGTCTCTTTCACATCAAAGCTAGGATCTTTTGGAGACTTTGTATATCAAAGTTATTCGTAGTGCATTATTTAGGCTTCTCGGCCCCTTTGAGTGGTAAGGGGGAACGGGATAGTTTGTGTCGAAGCGTAAAACCTCTGCAAACAGATTTCAAGTTATGTGGCAAGTAGCCCCTTCCAACTGTGGGACCGAGGTTCTGCAGACACCGGCTCGAGCAGTCTCCTGTTGCGTTTGCAGGCTGTCCCCCAACACCATGGTGACGCCCCACAAGAAGAGCATGCTGGGAAATGGGAACTATGATGTGAATGTCATCATGGCAGCGCTTCAGACCAAAGGCTATGAGGCAGTTTGGTGGGACAAGCGCAGGTACTGACAAGTTGTGTAATTCTGGAGATGGCTGCCGTTTGTAAAAACGAGGAGGAGAGGAAGTTAAAAGTGCCAGAATATAAATCTTACTGCTGTCTTGTTTTCTGCACTCTTTCAGGGATGTGAACGTCATTGCCCTGTCTAATGTGATGGGCTTCATCATGAATCTGCCTTCCAGCCTTTGCTGGGGCCCCGTGAAGCTCCCCCTCAAGCGACAGCACTGGATCTGTGTCCGGGAGGTGGGAGGCACCTACTACAACCTTGACTCCAAACTCAAGGTGCCTGAGTGGATCGGAGGTGAAAGTGAGCTCAGGTGGGATTTTTTTGTATTCTGTTCCTCCTCAAATCCTTCCCTGTTGGAGGGGGAGAATCTGTCCTTTAAACAACAATTGAAAAGTTTATGGTTGACCTTCAGTAGAAAACATTTGAGAGTGATCAGGTTCTTGTGCCTCCACTTAGATTTGTACCCTTTTTGCACAAAGCTAGGGAGCTGCTTTCAGCAGTGGTGATCTCTGCGAGCTCAGGAGAACGTGTTTTCACCTCCTACGTGGCTGGCTCTGTCACTAGTGCTGAAGGTAGAGGCCAAGTCTGGTATTAGCGGGGGACCCCTTCAGTGAGATGTGCCGTGCCTCGCTCCCTCCTCAGATGTGAGAGCACCAGCATTCCTTTGGCTCTTTAGTGAGCGATCTGCGTGCATGTTCCCAGTGAAAACCTTTCCAGACTAAAAGTGCAGCCTTACCCCTGACAGCAGTGAAGGCTGCTTGGTAGGAATCATTTGCCTGTGTAAGCATACGCTGAGCTGCTGGCTTGACTCCCCACCCCTCTTCATTCTTAACGTGAGATGGTTGGTGTAATTACTTCGACCGCAAAGGCTCACCTGCTCTTAGTTGCTGTTTAGCTTCCGTTCCATCCTGTTTTAAATCCTACTAGCAGCTTTGCAGTCTTGGCTAGGCTTGTTCTGAGCTAGGGGTTGCACGTGAACAGTATTTGTAGGGCCTACCATGTCATTAAAGTCTTGGTAAAGCGAATGTCAGCCTTTGGTGAGCTTCTGGGGTAAAGTAACGCAGTTCTGGAACTGCTTCTGGTGGATTTTGTCCTAGGTGTACTGTTCTTCAGCAATAAATAAGGCCTTCCTATATAGGGAATTTTGGAAATCTGGGCCAAAAGATATCTGAAGACGCTGATTTGACTTTCGTAGTTATTGGAGATAATCTGAGCTTGGTATTAGAAAAAGCTTGTGGGCAGAAAGGGGCTGCAGAACTGTCAGATGACCGGGTGGTACGCTGCTGCTACGACCTGCGATGAGGACAGCTAAATTTTTTTTTTTTTTTTCACAAGTATTACAGATTTGTTGGAATTATTTTAAAATACAGTGGGATTCTTGATCTCAGAGATCCGAAGAAACTGAACTTGCATTTAATTCTATTTTTGCCACCTTGGGAAATTGGGAAGTGACATCTATGTACACTTCTCTCTCCTGTCTGTCTGATTCTGTGAAAATTTTTAATTTTAGAGTTATGTTGAGTCTAGCGTGGCAAATTTAATAGTTGTTTGTTTTTTTTTTTTTGTCAGAAAATAACTGAAGAGAATGTGTGGGGGTTTTCTCCCATTTCTTGTCATATTTGTGTAGTTATTTGCATGTAGTTGTTGTAGAAGATGACAAAGTTCTACACTCAGTAGCGCTTATTTCTCTTTATGACAGGAAATTTTTGAAACACCAGCTGAGAGGAAAGAACTGTGAACTCCTGCTGGTGGTGCCAGAGGAGGTGGAAGCACATCAGAGCTGGAGAGCTGACGTGTGACGCAGACCACCTCTGCCCTCCTGCTACAGCTCTTCCCCTTTACTCATACCCCCGACGTCCCGAAACCTGGATAATGGGTGCCCCAGCTCTTCTCACCTGCAGTTTCCTTTGTTAGGCTCTTCTCTTCCTTCCTTGGTGCAATAGGGCAGCGGCGGAGGACGCTGGAGGCGGTGGGTGGGGAGGAATTGAGGGCAGAGTGGAGGAAACCGGAAGCCAATCGCTTTATCGGCAAAGGCGGATGAGCTGCGTGCCCTTCATCTAGCTAGAAGGCATTGTGCTCTTTAAAACCGGGCTTTGGGGCTGGGGTGTCTGGAAGCCTCTGGCCTCCCTTTCCCCGCGTGGTTCAAGGCCGTGTGTGCTGGGACACTGCTCCCGCCGGCGCTCGCCGGGGGCCGAGCACGCCGCCGCTCCTTCGCAAGTCTCTCCCTCTGAAACAAATCATCGTGAAGATGTTTGCAATTCCGAAGGGTCTCTCAGGACACTCTCAAACACTAGGAATGGTACGGTGCTCTGCACGACCCTCTGCTGCTTAGCAGTGGTTTGTGCCAGGAAGTAGAAAACAATAATAAAACCAGTGTCATCTTTCGAGAAATCCTTTGGGTAGCCAGAGGATTCTTCCCCAGTGTGTCCAGGGGTTTATGTATGTGGTGAGCAGTAGTTCAGCAGCATGTGGTTGGCTAAGGCATCGTGGAAACAGCAAGGACAGACTAATTGAGGAGTATCGAGTTTCTGGACTGGAGGGAGGCCATAGTCTGCTTGGGTTTCTTTGTGCTACGTTGTTGGGTTGTTTTCTTTCTATTTTTTAACATCTATTTTGGTTTTCTGCGTGGTCACCCAGTAGTTTAGGGGCTGCTTAGAGAGAAGAATAAAACTGAAGGGGTTTTGAGAGGGATTCATTCCCTTTTTATTTTCCCCTTTCCAGAAGTCTAGCCCACAGACACAAATGTCATGCGAGATGTCTCAGAAAGAGGTAGAGTTACAAGGAGAAAATTGGCTGAGGGCTGCCTTTATAGTAGTCAGGTTTTGCCCTTTTTTGTCACTACTAGCCAATAATGTGGGAGATGCAGAGGGTCCACCAGAACCTTCGGGTGTTAGAGACACCCTGGCCTGGTAGTTGAACCAACCTCTCTCTTCAGCATTGGCTGACGAACATTCCATTAATAGACAAATCACTTTTTTCCTCCCCTCCCTTCTGTGGGGAGGAGTGACTAGGCATGGAGATGCTGAGAGGAATCTCCACCAGCTGTTGCCCGGTCACCTGGGCGAGCTGTAGCTGCCATGCCTTCACAGCAGGAGGAGGAAATACCCAATTTGGAACAGACTTCGCTGCGTTTAGCGCTTCCCGGCCGAGCTGCCGTTTGCTTCCCTCCTTCGCGCGTGGGGACGTCTCAGTTAAACAGCAATCTCTGGGACGTGATGGAGCTCGAAGGATCCCACTCCATCGTCCAGGAAAGTCTCGTTACTGGTGTTTGAGCTTGTGGAAGGAGGGGTTGTAACTACCTTTGCTGGGTTATTTTTCTCCGGAGAGCTCTGCAAAGACGTGAGCGGGCGCTCGAAGCTGAGACACCGTCAAAATCGCACCTTCCTAACAGAGAAGAGAGGCCACGTGCCCATGGGACGATGCTGTTCAGCGGCCCCCGGACATCTGGCAAGCACCATCCTGCAGTCTTTTGTGCGCAGCCTCCCGCAGTCAAGGGCAAATGGCTCTTAACGTTTTCAAGACCCAACGTTTCTATAAAAAGTCCTATTTCGTAACACATTCCAATGACCAATACCAGCTGGCAGAGTTTTTAAACGCTTTACAGGCAGGATGCGCAGCCTGCAGGCATTCTGCTCGTGACTTGAAGCCATTTCTTCAAGAGGGGGAAGAAAATAAATCTCAACGACAACGTTTTCTATGCTGATTGAAGTCGCACTTTGGAGAAACCCTGTTTGCATGGAAACTGCAAGCCAATGGATCAGTGCACAATATGCAAAGATGTTTTAAAATATTTTGGGGCTACTTTCCTCTCCTTATATGTCAGCTCCTTTCTTGGGGGGGGGGGGGGGGGGGTGTGGGGTGGGGAACTGTGTTATCCAGCTGCTCAGGTAAAGGGAAAGTGTATGATCACGCCCCCGTGGGAGGCGAGGCTGCGGAGCCCAAGGGTGGGCGAGCTGGTCCAGGCCCACCGCTCGGGAGCGGGGAAGCCTGTGTTTTGTTTTCTTGCTTGTTTGGTTTTGTTAGAGCCTTGTCTTGGGTTTGTTTACAGAGATGTATTTTGTTTAACCAAATAATTAAAAATGGAGGAAAAAAAAAAAAAAAAACAAAAACAAAAAAAAAAAAACATTTCCATATAAATGTCCTATCACTTCTGTATGTTCAACTGAATTGTTCTGTAACAAAGTACGTAAAGGAAAAATAAATTTTTTTTTTCTTTGGTTATAAAACTATACCCTTTCTGAACCTTGACTGGTGCTGAGGTAGAAGCACAGGGGGAGCCTCCCTTAAGCCTTGCAAAGCTTCCTCTGCCCTCTGAAGGTGACGAAGCCATGTCTGGCCCTTTCCCCACGGCCAGGCCCTGCGTGAACCACAGGGGTCTCTACCCACAAAGCTACCACTAGCTCTGAAAGAACGGAGCCTTCCTAAAGGATGTCTATTAAAACCACACTGCTCAGGTTGGATTTATTTAATATTCAATACAAAAAAATACGCAGCCGATATCTGAAGTTCTACTTTATGAGGCAGAGGATCAGCGCGGACGTGATCGTCTTGAACCTGGCCTGCTGCTCCCTCACTTCTCACACACACATGAAGTTGCAGTGAAAGTATTTTTGCAGAAGCATCTTCCCGGAGAGTGTTTTTTGTGGGGTACAGCTACCCGCACCCCTCCTTCCTTTGCTTTGCTTTGCCTGCTGGGAAAGTCACTCCTCCTCCTCCTGTCAGCGGTGTCCTTCAGCTCCGAGTCAGCCAGGAAAGGATTTGTTTTGTTTGACTGATGCCTTTCGAAGCCTGACCTGTGCCCTGGGGTGGTTCTGTGGGGGGCAAGGGGGCTGGAAGAGGAACTTCCCCCAGTTCAAGTCTGTAACCGGTTATGGCATACTGAGTGAATGAAAGGAAAGGCTCATGACTTCTACGGGGGGAGGATGCAGACAGGAGCCGTCATCAGGTCCAGAGAGGGGGGGGTTTCTCCCCCTCATTATGAACAGGTCAATGTCCCAAAGGAGAACCAAAAATAAAAACAGAAAAGAAAAAAAAAAAAAAATGCCCTGACCCAACAAATCAACAGTTCAATATATCATAATCTCAAGGTCTTCCCACATGATCTGAATCCAACGCAGCTTCCGCAAATTAGATTTTTCCAGACAGCGGAGGCAGGGCCCCTGGCATTCCCCCCGAGAGCCCCGTGTTGGGTCCGAGGAGGATCTGGAAGGAAAACGCTCAGTCGCGGGGCTGCGAGGCCAGAAGGACAGCTGCCACGCACCCCCCTCCCTCCCCTCCCACAGCTACGCGCGGGGCGCCGAAGGCACCAGCAGCGTTTTGCCAAATCGGTTCCTCCCTTGGTCTGACAACCGAGCTCGAAGCGGGGCCGCCCCAACTGCCGAGTGGGGGGGGGGGGGGGCGGGTTTGGACCCTGCTTGCGCGTTTCGGCCCAGCGAAAGCCGGCCCAGAGCTTGCCGCCAGCCCGTTACCGGGAACTGGCAGGATCGTCCCACCGGGACTTCCAGCCAGAGAATCTGGTGGGGCGAAGGAGGCCACGAGGTGTAACAAACGGCAGCCTGCTCCCTCCGCGGGCAGCCCAGGCCGGTTGTGAGGGGCCGGGAGAGGGGGCTGGGGTGCTCCCGCCTCACCTGTCGCTGCTGCAGCTGCTGCTGTTGTTCCATCTGCAGTTTTTCGGTTTCGAAGACGACAGGAAGAACCAGAATCATGAAGGAGGTGGTCCCAATCCACAGAGCTGCCCTGGAGAATCTAAGGAGGAGGATAAGGCTCGGTTCCTCAGCTGCTGCTTGCAGGCGCCAGGCGTTTCCTTCCTGTGCCCCAGCCAAACGCCCTCCCCCGGTCCCACCCCCGCGGCGGCCCGGTCCACGCCAGCTTCTCCCCTCCCGGTTTTGCCCACGCCGCCGAGAACCGGCGGCAGCGGGGCAGCCCGGCACCCACCGGGGCCCCCCCCCGCCGCTCCCTCACCTGTACATCTTCTGCGCGACCGTCAGCGACAGGTCGAAGGTGGCTCCGGCCGCCGAGCGGACGCTCTCGGGGAACATCTCCGTCAGCCCCCACAGCCGCTCCGCCAGCGTCTCGTCCAGCTGCCGGGCGACACGCAGCCGCGTCAGGCCCGCCCCGGCCCTGCGCCCTCACCCCCCCACCCACACACACACACACCGCCCCGCCCCGCCCGCCTCCCCGCTACCTCCTCGTCGTCGTCCTCCTCTTCCTCCTCCTCCTCCTCCAGCTCGTCCTCCAGCTCCTCCGCCTTGCCCGAGCCGCCCTTGGGCAGCAGCTCCTCCGAGGACAGGGACGCCGCGGCCGCCATCACCACCAGCCAGGGACGGAGGGGGCGGCCGGCCACCGGAAGCGGAACAGCGGCGCTCCCGCCGGGGCTGGGGGAAGCAGCGGCCCCTGGCGGCCGGGAGGACCGACGGCCTCGTCACACCCCCCCCCCCCCCCCCCCGCAGGGCCACTGCCCCCCCCCCCCAACAAACACCCGTAGAACCTGGTTTTGATTGTAATTTTTTTTTTTCAGACACGGTCTGCAAAAACCTTGAGAACAAGCAGCTCCTGCGTCCTGCTCGCCCAAGGCAAGCGGTGAAGCTTCTGCAAGCCCTCCCGCAGGGGAAAAGTTTGGGGGGGGGGGGGGGGGGGGGGGGGACGGCTGGGTCTCCTTGCGTTTTTCAGCACAGCAGGCGGGGAAGGGCCCCCACCCGGAGGTGGAGCTGCTCCACCGCCTGTCCTCAGGGTGCCTTAGCAAAGAGGGTACCTACTGCTGGGCTGCGGCGAGGAAACTCAGCAAGGTAAAGTGCTCCAAGGGGCAGAAAGGACCAAAAAACGTCGAGCGTGAATTAACAGCGTGGCGGCGTGCCTTGTTGGGGTGCTGAGCCAGCCGTTACACAGTACCAGCAGCACCACGCGGTACCAGCAGCATCTTGCTACGCGTGGTGCCGCGGAATGAAGTACCTACGGGCAGCACCTGCGCGGCTGGGCACCCCAAACCAGCCCCGGCGTCTGCCTCCTTGCTCCCCCCCCCCCCCACCCCAGCTCCAGCTGCCTCTTCTTCTTCACTTCCTCCTCCGGCTGTGGTTCTTCAGCTCCTCCAGCTCCTTCTCCATCAGGTGGGACTCGGCCGTGGTCTCGGAGAGCTGCAAGGCACAGCCGACAGTGACAAGAGTGAGCGACGCCTCCGCCCCGCGGGGAACACCGGTGGGGGCAACCACCGGCCCTGCGGCCTCGGACACGCGTGGCAGGACACGAAAGCCCCTCGGAGGGGGCAGAGGGAGGTCACTCTGCCTCCGGAGAAGCCCCTGGTGTCGCGGGCAGTGAGATGTTTGTGCCTCGGAAGATTTTCCGATTTCACAGCACCGCCTTTCCAGAGAGGTCGCCGAGACCTACAGCACCCGCTCAAGGGGATTTGTTCCCGTTTTAGGGAGATGGAAGCTGAGAATCTGCACTTCGCTGAGGACACCTGGGAAACCCGGAGGGCAGCGGGGGTGTCCGCTAAGTGCTCCGGCCGCTAAGGCCACTTGCCAGTTTTAAAACATGGGCAGAGCGTAAGGAAGGAAAACGATGGAATAAATGTTTCTTCAGACTGACATAAAGGCTAATTCACTTAACAGGCTGAGAATACATGTGTACTCTATTTCACTGAAAAGGTCTCCAGATTTTAAGCGTGGAAGCTGTGATCTCTGGATAAGGTTGAATTTCAGTTTATTTAGGGCTTGGGAATTCTTTCACCCATAGGTTTACACATAGAATAGATGTTGTACCACTTGTCACAGCAGATGGAAGCTTTAATCCTCTGCGACCAGAAAGGGTGGCTATAACTTAGCTTCACAGTTAGGGCAGAGGCTAGAGGGGGAAGGAAAATGTCCCTGAATACTCCATGAAGAAAGAGAAAGAGGAAACATGGCACTTGCAGTGGCTCCTCCCTAATCGAGCCACAGTGTTCGCTAAAGTCAAGCTCTGCTGTGGGAGGGAACCTTCCCCTCTTCTCGCAGAGGGGTTCAGACTTTACTCCCACAGTCACTTTGCCATTACAGTTGTCCTGCATAGCAAAGTGAAGCAGAAAGAGCGGGGAGTGGCCTCTTCTGGCGGTCCCAGCACCCTTCGGGCGGGCATTTCCACCGCTATGAGCAGGTGACAGTTGGGCAAGGACTCACCATGTCCAGCAGAATATCCACTTTCAGCCGAAGGAGGTTGTTTTCTTCCTCGAGCTGCTGGTTTCGTTTGCGCAAGCGCTGCATCTCCCTGCGGTCCCCAGTGAAGCTTCCTGCTTCTGGAAGAAAAGAGGTCAAAATTACGGCTTGTCGGCCAACCATAGCTACCTCAGAGCAAAAGAAGCCGAGCTGCACTCTACCTGCCACCCACTGGCCATTTTCAAACTTCAGGCTCTGGCCGGCGAGGTTCATGGTGGGGATGCCGTACTCCAAGCCCAGCTCAATCTCCCGGGTCGATCTATCCAGCTGCAGCAAGGAGATCACACTCGGCGTTTTACAGAAATGCAAAGCCACCCCCCTGCTCTCCCATTTACCGACTGGAGCCTGAAATCTTACTTCGCTCACGCACGGCTGCAGTCGACGACCAGCTCCTCTCACTACTACGCCTGTGCCTTTCCCCCTGCCCAAACATCCCCTCGGCTCCCCCAGGCTCAGAGAGCACTTGGCGAGAAGTTTTAGGTGCCAGCTCTGGGCTGTGGCTGGGGTGATGATGCTCCTACCCCGAGCTATTCCATTTTTACCTTCGCGGCCGGTCACCGGCGTCACCCAGCCCTTGCCCCCGCAGGCGTGGGGACTCACCAAGTGCAGGTTGGAGAGGGAGGCGCATTTCCTGGGGGGGGTCTTCTTTGGGCTGAAGGTGCTCCCGAAGAGAGGCATGGCGTGGGCAAGGGGGCTCCTCTGGTGGCCCGTTGCGCCCGGTTTCCACCTCCTAAAACCTGACCCCGCACCCCTTCTCCTCGCGCTGTGCAACACCCCCGCCCTGGAAAAACAAAAAAAAAAAAACCCAAACAAACAAAAACAAAACAAAACAAACAAACAAAAAAAAAGGGTGGGGGGTTGACCTGATGCCCCGAGCGCTGCCGGCACGCGGCTGCCCTCGCGCCTCCGCTGCCACGTGACCGAGAGCCGGGCGGGGACGTCACCACCACCCCCCCACCACCCTCCGCGCAGGCGCACTCGGCAGCGATCCCCGGCGCCACGCGGCGCGGCCCGGCACCGGGGTGGGGGGGGGTGGTCACGGGCCGTACCACCCGACGGGAGCGCCGAAGAGAAAGGAAGGGTGTAACCGGAGAGCGGCAATTCCCCGCGTGGGCCGCCACCGGGATGGCCGCTCCTTCTGTTCTCCCCTCCCGGCATCTGCCTGGCGAAGCCAGCGGGCTCGGCGAGGGGAGAGTTGATGAGGAGAACATACACCCCCCCACACACCACCCCCCCCCTCCGTCCCGCATTGGTAGGGCCAGCCCCGCGGTGCGGGGGCGGCTGGGCCGGGCTGTTCCATCGGGGTTCGCCTGAATTACGGGGGGGGGGGGGGGGGCGGCAAAGAGGGGGGTGAAGCACCTTCGAAGCGACGCGTCGCGCCTGCTCCCGGCGTTCCGGCTCCGACCCCGCGCCGGTGGGCTCGGCCGCCGTCGCAGCGCACCCCGGGAGCGGTTTGCGGCCGTTGCGTTGCCATAGCGACGGCGGGCCGCCGCCGCTCCTCCCGCTCCTCCTTCCTCCCGTTCTTCCCGCCGCCGCTCCCGTGAGGGGGGTGGCCGGGCCGCGGGGGGCCTGGCTGCCCTCCGGCCGTCCCTGCTCCGGCCCCTGAGCGCCCCGCGCAGCCCCCGGCTGAGGGGGAGAGGGGTGAGGGCGGAGGAGCCGGCGCCGGCTCTTGGCGCGGCCGGGCTGCGTCAAACCCGTGGTGTTCTGCCCGCTGGTTCCTTACACAGTGCTTGAATTGGTCGGAAGACTTCTTAAAATGTCCTGTGTGTTTTGTTTTGTTTTTCTTTTCTTTGCAGATAAACTACGAAGCGCCGTTAGGCAGAGAACCTCTCCTTGCTTGGGAACACGGGGGAAGAAGCGGAGAAGGTCTGGGGTCCTGGACAGCCTGTGTTCAGGGAACGATGGGTTAGCAGTGGGAGAGAGAAGAGCAGGCAGTTCCTTAGTAAGCTGTCTTCTGAAGCAGCCCCCGTGTCCTGATTTCCTGTGCGTGTTGCAAAGTCCTCCCTTCTCAGCACATGATGGGATAAATTTAGTTTTATTGTGCTACTTGCTGGCTTGTATTCCATGGGAGGTGGCTTTCGGCGTTGGTTTGGATAGTATTTTGAATGAACGGCAGGGGTATGTAGCACATATCGCCGATATTTTTTATACTGCAGCAGCAAAATACCACTCTTTTTCTAGATATTGAAATAATTCTCCAGTCTGTTTAGAATTTGGTGATCTGAAATTACTTGCTTCATTGTTAGAAAAGCTTCTGTTGAGGACTTTGTGAGGCTTTCCTGACAATTTTAGATTAATGAGATATTAGGATACTGACTTTAGTTAAAGGGGAACAATAAAGAAAATTTTAAAAAGGGGGGGGAGGGCAGGCAAATAAACAGAAGTGCCAGGAAGGAGAAGAGAAAAAAAAAAGAGAATCACCCACCTCTTAGTTTGGTTTGTGCATGTATTAACACTCCACAAAAAAAGTTATTTAACAGTCTTTATTTTTCAGAATGCTTAATTGGTACCCTGGCTGAAGTGAACCAGAAAATTGCTCACTTGGAATGAGAATTGGAAAGATACCATAGGGCCAACCTGGTGACTATAGACAAAAATCTCTGGTACTGCGGTATCTTCTGGTAGTCCAGTTAAGCATTATCTGATTCTTGCAGTGTACATGCTATAAAAACAGTGGCCCTGTCTAGTAGAGTCTCCGCACTGGAAATCAGTGATTTATTTCTTTTTTTAATAAGGGATTACAGCGGGGGGTGGGGGACACACCCAGCACCCTTAAAAATAGAACAAAAACTTGCAGTTTTGAACAAGAACTTTGTGAAGTAGTTGTGGCTCCTGTCACCATTTGTTGGGGGGTGGGGGGCATCTACTGGATAAGAAAAGTGAAAAGAAGAAGGGCCAGAAGTACAATGAGATCAAGAGCCTTTTAAGAATAGCTAGGAGAATGTAGAGCTACAATTTTGAACTTTAAAAAACTGCAGCTGACCTAAGTGCTTTTAAGAGTCAAAGACCATACAGGATAGTGAGGAACTGAGCTCTTAACAGTCACTTTTTTTTTTTTTTTTTAAGTTGTTCTATGCACTGAAAAATCTAGTTTTCAGACAAGTACTCAGACCCAAAGAGCTCCGGATGAGAGAAGCATCTCTCTGAGATGCTCAAAGACAAAGGCACTTATTTTTCCTTTATAGATACTTAAGGGGTTTGTTATTGAGGAGGAAAAAGCAGATGTGAAGAAGCTCTGGTTGGGGTGTGCCCTGCCAGTAACGTGGGGGTAGTAGCGTTCACCTTCCTAGAAGAAACCTGCGTGTTTCAGCACAGTTGTGCCCTTGAGTTTTCCTTGCGCTGAGCAGGAGGAGTATTGTAGTAATACATCGTAATTATTATAAAATGAAACGGTCTCATTTATCCGGGGTCTCTCAGTGCTTCTCTGACAGCTTCCTTATCCGACGCAGAGACTCGGAAAAAGCCAGGCAGCCCATCCCCGCTGCCTTGGCTTGCGAGTTGAATACCTGCTTCTGTGCGCCTGATTGCTGTGGGCACGGGTGCTAATACGGGGGTGAATAATTTCACAGTTGGTAGGGCTCGTGGATGAGAGTTCAGAAAGCTGCTCCTGAAGTTCGAGAGCAAGAGAAAGAGGTTCAGTGTTTGCTTTGGGGTGTGATGTGCTTCAGGAATCTTTCTTCCCTTCCATGGTTTGCCTGAATTTCGTTTCTTGCCAGACGCCATTTCCTCAAAAAATGCTGTGGGATTTCCTCGCTGCACCAACCTCCGAGGCTATTCTGGCAGCAGCTTTTCGTTGTTATTTCTCCGCTTGCATCGGGTGGGCACTGAGGCAAGAGCCGACCGTCGCTGTTTCCAGCATTGCCTCCCGATATGCTGCATTGTTCTCCTGCCAGCGGGTAGTTTGACGTAGGACTTCAGGCGATGTTAAAAGCATTATGGTGTAGCGCTGGGCATCCTTCTGTGCCTGTTACTTTGTGGGGAAGCGAACATCTAGCGCACGCTCTCTCTCCCAGTACATTAACTACAGATATCACTTAGGATCTGCAAAAGCTCGTTAAACGATGAAGAACCTGCATGTTACAGTGATCGTGTAAGGAAACTGCGTCTCTTTTTATAAAGGCATCTCTGGGAATGCTGGTGGAAGGCTGAGTGACTGACAGGATGAAGATAGAGCTGTAGCACATGACAATGTGGATATTTTGGAATAGACCCAAGCTGTTCTTGGTAGCCTAATTTGGTGCATCTTTAGCTTTTTCAGTTCAGTACATGATCTACAGCTTAGATGGTCTCAGAGCCGCTTTAACTCCATAATGTTTCTCTCGCCTTTTTTTCATATACACTGAGGAATTATTACTGTTTTTGTTATACCAATAATTATTGGGAAACCCCACTGACTGGTGAAGTAGACTTACTCTAGGCTTACTCTGATGTCAAAGAGAATATTTATTGTAATTATTGCTGCTTGGAACTTGCTAGGTTGACTGGTGGGCTAAATGAGACTGAGTTTAAAACCTATAAAATAAAAACGGTTTTGGCATATTGAAATTAATTCCATGCCCAATTAATTTCTTCAGCAGCGAGATCGATCATTCCTGTCATCACAGTGCTCTGCAGTTAACAATGTCCCTTCGTTTGGTATCCTAGATATTAAATATCTCACCTATATTTTATTGACAAAGCAGACATCTCTCTTTCCGTTTCTTCTTTTCATCACGGCAAGCTCGAGAGCCAGAAGAGCTGTTTCACCGCTTTGCAAAGCATTGAGCTTTCCTCCTGCTTGGCTGCCCCAGACTCCACCGCCAGGAGGCCCTCGCTGAAGTGCTCATAGCTGGGCAAAGGAAACGCAAGGACAGTGAAAGGAGATGGAGAAACCCATCTCCACAGCAGTAATCTGAAACTCATCCTATAAATAGAGATTTTCAGAGTGCTGTGCAGGCATTTATTAATTACTGCAGGAATCCTGATATCCAACCATCAGTTGTACAGTAACTTTTGAGGATACTGGGGTGTCACGGGTGGTATCCCTGCATCGAATCACCAAGTGATAGCCAGGAAAGTTCATGCCTTTGTCTTCTGGATAGTAAAGCTCTTAATAACCTAAGTAAAATAATCAAATGGGGTAAAGCACTGGTCTGATCTTTCACCCAGCAAATATGCCTTCACCTAACTCACCTCTGCCTTCTCTCTTTTATTTACTTATTCCTGGCTTCTTAATTTTCTTTCACTGTTCTCAGCAGGCTTTTATTGTCTCCTGAAAGTTCTAAATATCAGCGCTAACAGTCTATCTGATTGTTCTCTTTTTCTAAGGTGACCTTCTTTAAAGAAAGGGGGAAGGAGAAATGTTTTCATCCTTTTTTTTTTTTTTTTTTTTTTTTTTTCCCAAATTGTGTACTACTTTCCCTACTTACTGGCTTTTCAAAACTGCAGTCATTGCTTTGGCTGAAATGTAGACTTTGTTGTTCAGAAAAATAGTGTCCCCCTGATCTCTTAACTAAAAAGTATATAGAGTTGTCATTTTTCTTTCCTTAAACCCTAGGGTTTTTTTCTTTGCTGCTGAGTCAAGCCGTGTATATCTGCCTCTGTTCTGGTTTCCCAAGATCATGTTTCGGTACTGAGGGGACCAAGATGCAGCTTCGCAATGCAATTTCAGGACGGATGACAGGCGAGAGCAGTTCTGCTCCTGTCAGGGAATGTGGCTCGTGCAAGCTGTAGGCTGCCAATTGAGTTCTCGCTTGTCTTCCAAACTGAGTTCCTGCCCTCCTTCCCTGAATTCGCACTGTTCAGCCACCCGAGACTGAGCAGTAGCAGGTCTGTGATGCCCTTAGATGCCTGGGGCTGCACGTGCCCACCCTCCGCCGGCAGCCACGGGTAACCTGTTGAACCCCTTTCCCAACGGGGATCGGGCGTTGCAGTTCTTCCCTGTGAACAAGGAATTCCCAGTAAGTGCAGGTCATAAGCTCGCGTTGATTAAGTCCCTTTCGGGGAATAAATTTTCTGTAGTGCACGTTAAAAATATGTTAGGGAAAAGAGTCTGGGTTATTCCTGCCTCAGGCAAGGGCAAACCCATTTGTGGGATTGCTTTTGCTCAAGGACCCCGGGTGCACTTGGTAGGTGATGCAGAAGGACGGGGAAGTCCGGTGTGTGCCTCAGGGGGATCTGATTTTAGGTGAGAAGAGCCAATAAATTAAATTGCATGCTAGTTGCTATACAACCCTGCCGCTGTATGTCATCGTTCCTGTAATTGTTACGTGCTATATCGACGGTATTGCAGTAAGAATCACTTAGATTAATGAAGGATGAACTCTGGTAAATCCGAGCAAAGCGCGGTAGGTGTGGCACCAGAGCCGACTTCAGCTCGCACCAGTCCAGCACTGCCTGGGCATAATATAAATGGTATAAGAGTGGATATTGTCCTGGTTTTGGCTGGGATGGAGTTAATTGTCTTCCTGGTACAGGGTGTGTTGGGTTTAGTGTGAGAATAATGCTGATAACACGTTTTGGTTGTTGCTAAGTAGCGGTTATCCTAAGTCAAGGATTTTTTTCAGTTTTCCACGCTCTGGCATTGAGCAGGTGCACAAGAAGCTGGGAGGGAGCCTGGCCAGGAGCCCTGACCCCCACTAGCCAAAAGGATATTCCATACCACAGAACGTCAGGCTCAGTGTATAAACTGGGGG